ACATTAGATGTAAGTAGGTAGTTTTACATTCTAGTCACAATGATATATCAGTCTAGAGTTCATCCTTTTTTCTGCATAGTTTCTACAGTGGGGACTAGAACCCACAGTTACCAGTCAAACCAGAGACTTACCCACTATGCAATGCTGTAGATACATATAAAATCATTATAGTCAAAAAGCAGTTGCACTTATATAGCAACTGCATATTATAAAGCTATGTAATATATAATACTGAATATTCATTTCAAAGGACCTAAAAGAGCTTTAAATAAAGGATGGACCTAAGTGTAGCATCCACCTGAATGACAGACAACAGATATAATATGCCAGCAGGCCCACTATACAGTAAAAGAGGAAGAGAAATGAGAAACCGATTAACCAGATAACATTAAGAGTGAACATCGGGTAGGTTAGACAGTGCAAACAATTTCAGAGTGAAATTCAGCTAGGACACTAGGGTTAACACTCTTACAGTGTCATGGGATCTTTAATGACCAAGTAGTAAGGAACTCAGTTTAACATCTCATCCAAAGAACAACAGTGTATTAGGGGATTGGTTTGGAAAATATCATCCAAAGTGTAAAATGTAAGATACAGGGCCACCAGCACCACTTACAGAAGCAATATGGCTTTATGGGAGGGATCTCATCCCAGTATTGACCAAGCCTAAGCCATATGTAGTTTCTGAGATGAGGAGATCAGACTAAAAACTGATTTACCACTGGGGTCTATCAATTAATGATTTGGCAAGCTAGTTCACTAAACAACAGATCAGGTAAAGAAGTGAGATTTCTTTTTCCCCATCAGTAGAAAACATATGTAACCTTTAGGTACACTACACACTTGTAGAATACTTTCAGCAGCATGTTGCAATTGCTTTCAAAACATTTAAACTGAAAAGGGAACTGGCAGCTTGGGTTTGCACAACATTTGGGCAGTTTAAGTACCACTTTCAATGACACTGTAATTAGTATACTTGTATTCTTGCTCTAATGCCTTCACTAAGGAAGATGCCTTTCCTTTGCCTTTTGAGATTAAAGATCCAGTATTCACTGCTTTTGTTGCTGATATATCAATCACATCAGATTTCTGTAGTACTAAACAAAAGCTAGTAAATATACTACAGGTGGAGATTAAATTGTCTCTTCTAAGGACAGATTCAGATTTGTAAAAGATTTAACTTTTTTGTGCATTATGTTGGTACTCAAAATGTAGTTGGAACGGACATACTGGGTAACTTTAACACAAATAGCATGAAATTAATGTCATTACATTCCTAAAAGCATGTACATTCAAGTTTTACTGTAATCTTGATAAGCCATCTCAATTATACAATTCTAGAACCAAATTCTTGGGAATGTGAATGCTTCTAGTGCCCAGAAGGAAAACATTTTATCTCAGTATGCTATAAAAATAAGAGCTATTGCCCATTTTGTTTGTTACTTTATTAGAGATCAGAATTCATCAGCTTAAGTAAAGGTATAAGACTTTAACATAGATTTTAGGTTTATTTCTACTTGCTAAGTTTAAAAAAAGGTCTCAAACTGTTTCATATGCATTTAAAGTATTTCCACCATGAACTTAGAACATAAAAGCCTTTATAAACATTTAACTAAAGTAGCAGGAACAAAAATCCACACATCTGTTATACAGAAAACATTGTAGAGACCAAGCCACAGTATGGCAGTCAGTAAAAAAATGTGGACAAAAAACACTTAAAAGTAAAAACAAATCTCATAAAGCAGTTCAACTACAACAACACACTCTTTAGAGAATTATTAACAGAGGACACAAGCCAACAAGTGCATATGGGTTCAAGAATCCATGTTACCTCCTTGTAGATCTACCTGCAATTTCAAAATGGCTTTGATGTTTCCTCCTTCTCAGGGAAACTCACACAGCTTCCACCCCCCCTGTTGACAGATGTTACATATCATGGTACACACCCACAAACATTTGGCCTTGATCAGCCACATAGCAGAGGGTGTTTTTTTTTTTGTTATGAGAACTAAATTATTACTACATAACCAATATATATATATATTTACTTTGAAATGCACTATAAAATGGAACAGGTTGTAAAACACTACTGGCTTTCTTTTAAAAGCCTAGGTAAACAGTATGTTAAATTCATCCATACATTCTCTAACTGATTTATCCAATTCAGCGTCATGGGGCAGCAGGGGAACCTTCCATGTACTCATACTCACACCAGGGCCAATTTTCCCAATTAACTTACCAGTATGTCTTTAAACTGTGGCAGGAAACTGGAGCACACAGTGGAAAGCTTCACGAGCAAGGGGAGAACATACAAACTCCATGTAAATAGCAATGCAGGTCTAGAATTGGGCCCCAGTGCTCTGACACAGCAATTCTAAGCTTGCGCCACAGTTACACCATACTATGTTACATCTATAATTTCAAAGATTAACACCCGCCTTCATTGAACCCACAGGTTGAGCCCTATGCTCTAGAAGTCTAGATGTAACCAGTTCCAAGCCAGGATCATTTGACTACCCAAATGGACTGTGACCAGAATTCCTAAGGGGCAGTACACAACTGGCAAAACCGTGGTAGCCTGGGCAGCAGTCAGACAGGGTCCACTTGGCTTTAGCAAAACAGCAACTTAAAATGTCTTAAAAGCTGGTAGACGTGAAGTGAGTCAGTAAGAGCCATGCTTGCTCCTTTAATTTGCTGCTGACTCTCCAGAAAGGCACTTAGATGCTTGCAGAGCCACTCAAGCTCTCAGACGCGAGCAAGTCAGAGGAGGTCCTCTACAGGTTTTCATTCTTCCTATGCAATACCACAGTTGTAGCCATGAGTTGAGTCTTTCCTACATCTTACTGGCTGGGTATACAACAGGTTTTTGTAGCAATTCAAACATCCAGCAATGTTTATAGTACATTCTGATATAGCACAATTAAGATATATTCTAAATATAACAATAAGGGCAAGTGGGCACTGATACTACATGTGGCAATGTTGTCAATATAAGCCAGTACTAATAGGACACAGAATTTATCAGCAGGTGTGCCACACGATGTGAAGTAGTCTGTTTTATGGAAAAGCCAGATATAAGAAAAATAAAATTGTAATATATATTAGTTCTGTGAAGAAAACAAAGTGTTGTGTTGCACATTTGGTGTATACATGAGACAGCGGCCACATTCTAAGTCTATTCATGTGGAAAGTGCTTGTGATGCAAGTTAACTTTTTCAAGTTTGATGGAAAAAAAAAACAATATCTAAGAATAGCTCAGCATGGGTTCTGTGTTTCACCGTCATCAATTCCTTCCAGGATAAGGGGACTATGCACTTCAAGTAAAATTCATTTGTGAAGAGGGAGCTGGAATGACATAAAATATTAATATTTATGCAAGTGCGCAGTTAAAAGAAAAGGGTTGAGAAACACTGCCCAACAGGTCATCGTCTTCCTTTCAAAACAGGTAAAAAAAAACAAGGTTTACTTAGGACACAAAGTCAAAACCCCAATCGCACTGGGCATTTTGTTGAAGAAATTACACAAACTGCTATACAATGTCTCCCATAATACACATAAGAACAGCATCAACTCCTAGAAATTTCACTTGCTTCAAAAAAGAAAGAACAGTTGGAACTATATATGAATTACATTATTCTTCACATCTAATGATATTTAGTGAACATTAGGTTTGTAATTGGAGTTTTTGGTTATTATTCACCAAAGTGAAAAGTATATCCACCTCATTCACAGGATTCAAAGAAGCTACTGAAATGAGAACTTCATGCACAATACATAGTTTTCAAAGAGGACAGAAATACAACATACTAGTAGAGTCAACAACACAAACAGAAGGACGTTGCTGCACATAGAGTTTGAGACTGAATCTAATGACTAAACTATGTCTTGGATATGGATTCTGAGGAGTCCTGTGTCATACATGTTGGTGAAGATCTCTAATCAAAAAGTTGTTTAGAACTGGACAAGCAAGGTTGGACAAATCCCCTCCATTCTCCTGAAAGCTTTCTTTTACTCTTTCTTTCGACAGCACCACACCAAAAACACTACACAGCACAGCCTAGTTATAATCTTATTGCTCTATTATTAATATAGTAAGAATGTTCTACAAGCGCTTAAACCCTGTAAGTGTATTTTCTTAACAGTTTGCAGAGAAACCTAGACGTGTGCTACAACGTGCTATTAGTAACCCTGTAGTATTTTAAAAAATACTACAGCATACTGCAGACCAATAGAGCCCATACCTACAATTACGTAGTGTAGTGCACGAGGTGTTGTTTTTTTGCTGCAACGTTCACTGAACTGTTATTATTCTGCTTTATTTACTGTGTATCAACGTCATAAGAGAGCCCAGTTGAATGATTATTGTGGCTTTCGAGTCACTTTTAACAATAACTTTGCAATACGTATTTTAATACTAAAGAACGGTATATTTACACATAATCTTCATTGTTTATACTTAGTTAAAGTAAATGTACTTATAGCCAAAATAATAATAATTTAAGTTTTTAATAAAGTATCAAGGCCTCAGAGCAGCTACTCACGGAAAATAACGCTTTTACTGTACTGCTCAAATGGGCCCCGCCCCCTGACTGGAATCTAAATAACCTATCATGCATTAAAAACTTACAAAAAGTTAACTTTTTTAAATTAAATCGGTTAGAAATGTAGTCTCAACAATTTATTAGTAAAGAAGTTCAATATCAAGCTTCATAAATTAACTTTTAATCACCTGTCTGTGACTGTGCCCACCGCGGCAACAACTCAAGCAAACTTGTCAAGAGACTTGCAAACTTCCTTCATTTCGAGTTTGCAATGCACAGTAAAAGCACAATACGCGAGTTAAAACAGGAGATTTACAATTTGCGTTAACAGAGTTCGAACTTTAAGTAAACCCGGCTGTGATTTTCGGAAAAACACCGCCCCGACAGTACAAAAATAAGTTTGACATGTGCAGTGCACAAACAACTCCGGTGCGAGTCTCCATAACATTTTAAGCTTACCTTTTTCTCGTAGAGGAGTATTCACCTCTTCATCTCTGCTAACTTGCGTAATTATAGACGTGGACTGGTGGTCCATTAGATCCGTAATTCCAATATAGCTGCAGTTTAAAAGTTGTTACCGTTTTTCTACCTAATATATATTGATATATTTACAACAAGTTAAAATAACCCCCCCAGTTTTCCGTTATATACATTTAATTTCTGGCATAAATATATACAACTAAAAGTTTAAAAGATATAAAAAATAAAAGAAAAAGTAAAAATACAAAAGGGAGTTTCTTGTTGATAACTTTGTTACAACATGGAGTTCTGTAGCTCTGCTCTTCAATTTCAAGACACAAACATGGAACTTGGCTGTTTCAAGGCCTCCCCTCCCTCTTAAAGTGGCTATGAAAGAGTAGCTGCAAACCGCAGGAAACAAAAGCTTCGCTAGATCGCGCCACTGTATGGGACCGTACAAGAAGAAAACTGGTTTAATAAGATGCATAAGATGATGGGTAGATGGACAGAGGCACAACGCATGGAAAGATAGACAGAGCTATACCATGTACAGATAGATTAATTTCAATAACTTTTAGATTATGATAATAATAATAATAGTGGATTGTCTGACGTAGATGCAGGAAATCATACTACAAGATATTTGCAAACTTAAACCAAAAAAATAACTTAAAACAGGAATGGAAACTATTCTACTAAATTATTAATTTTAATATACCCATTGCATGTTTTTTTTTCATTAAGTCATATTACTCCATACACACCACATGATGTAATCAAAGAAGTGCACATTGCAATTGCAGTAGATCTCGGACTTTTTTTATTTATATTACTTGCTTTACAATGAGCCCATCCTTTAAACCATTATTGTTGGGGGATTGTTCCCACTTAAACCGAAGTGAAATTAAAAGATCGTTAATTTTGTCAGATCTGGTGTGCGTACAGTATGTGTGTTTCTGATTTTCCGTAGGGTAGTACACACAGTATCTGTGTCCAGTAGATGTATTGCGGTACACAATGTGTATGAATTGTTTTCTGTACTCCCAACTATTTATTCAGCACCAAAGGAATGTAGCGACCTTTTGAACCGCTTCTATAGACATTGCACTCAAGGTCTAAACTGAGGTCTAAATCTTGTCTGGCAGTATTGCAACTTCAGCAGCCTGGTTTCTCTTGGTTTCATAGTGGAGAGAATCTATACAGAAAGCAAGCACAGTCCGAAGCTGACCGAGACAGGAAATTGCAGACAATGCTGCCATTCAAAGTCAGCTCGGAACCAATGACAGTGACGTGGCGCCCCATTGAAGAAACCGGGCACCTCAGAGCCAAGCACATTCCTGGAGCCACGCTACAATATCAGGGACCGTAACCAATTCGTTTAGCTTCATACATCTCTACCAGACTCTTGCACGTTTATTTAGTTCGTAATGCATGTTAACCGCTGGATCACTCCACTCAAAAAATTGCGTAAACACGCCAGCCTAAACAAAAAAAAAAACACACACTTCTCAAATTCTGGTATAGTCCAAACAAAATTTGAAGTCGGGATGCAGTTTTATTTTCATAACTGACTTCCCTGGCACTTCGATGTTTTATTTTTTCAACTGGCGTTCAACTATCCGTTACCTTTGAGACAAACAGTCATGATGACAAAAGACAGCAATTTTCAACTCTTAAAATAAAATAATTGTATGTGTTTAAAACCAAACTGAAGAAAATAGACTCTAATCACTGGCTAATTGGTTTCAGTTTTCTTTTTGAGGTATATGTGTAAATTTACTCTCTGATCTTAAAATGTGAAATAGAGTTTGTAATTGACATCAGCTCTATGCCAATTTTTGAAGTTCAGAAAATCATGTTATCCATTGGTTGGCACAGTGCCACAGTGGTTCACATCGCTGTCTTGCAGTGCTGGGGTCCTGGGTTCAATTCCGGACCTGGGATGCTATCTGTGTGGAGTTTGTATGTTCACACAGGTTTCCTCCTACAGTGCAAAGACTGGTAGGATAACTGGCTTCTGGGAAAACTGGCCCTGGTGTGAGTGTGTTGGTGTCAATGTCTGTGTCTCCCCTGCAATTGACTGGTGTCCCTTCCATGGTGTACCCAGCCTTGCGCCTGTTGCTTGCCAAGATAGGCTATGGCTCCCCCGTGTCCCTGAATTGGATGAAGTGGTTAAGAATTTGATGGATGGATGGTAACTGTTTCAGAATCAGAATTTCCTTCATTCAAGATGTGCTTCCTGAAATGTAACAAATTGTTATTCACACCTATGAATGTTCATCCTCAATTGATGAACTACTAAGAGAAGTTTAGTCAGAAATAACAGCACAAAACATTGAGGAGAGGCTGTGTAAAGTTGAAGTCATTGGAAACGTACCCTTATGCAGTATTTTTGACACTCAGGACTGACAGAGCAACACGGTAAAAAAAAAGTCTAAACAAGCAGATCAATTAACTGATCAATTAGCAGTGGTGATATAGAGGTCATCTTATGAAACAGCAAGTACTGTAGTTCTTCTAGCCCCAGCCCCAAGGTGGAGAACCACTGCTATCTCTAATCACAGGCACACACAAAAAAAAACGTTTAGACAAAATTTAGCAAATGACCACTTTCTAGCAACCTTTCTAATCCAATAAATAAGTTACAAGTAATGAGTATTCAAGGTATGCATAAAAAGTTATTTCACTGACAACAACTACAATTTGAAAAGTTCAATGAGTTAAAAAAAAACGTATACCATGTGAGTTATCATGTACAGTATGTGTCAAATAAGTGGTTTTCACAAACCATATTTAATAGCCTATGCTTAATGAATTTTATTAAGAACACTAATAGAGGAAAAAACAGGTATACAGTATATGCCACTGTGCCAGCGATACTAGAAATTCCTTACATGCACCTGGGATACTTTCTACGCAGAATTTAAACTGTTTTTTGTAACTAGTCCCCCAGTGAACGCCACTGGAAACGTGCGTACTCAGAACTTCCTTCGTGCACTGGTGTGTACAGAGCAGTACACAGTTTAACTGTAACTTTCCTTATGAACAAGCAACCTACCGTGGAGGCTATTTCCTTGATGCGCTCTGTTTTAGCTTTCATTTTGCCAATGGTGGGGCCCACACCTCGTACTTTTAATTTCCAGTTTATCTTATCTACAGTTTCTATAGATTTATACAATAAAAATAACAATGCGAATATTCATAACCACATTTTTGTCACTGCTCGGTGCTTTAAAAAAGCGAACAAAAAATACGTAATGTGTTGCCCGTTTAAGGTGTTTTAAAATGAGCACGCAAACAACTTTTGAAAGGCCTTTACTTGATTCGTTTCGGCTTGCTTTTTCTCTTTGCAACAAGCCCGAAAGGAAATTAACCGACGCAAGTCTTTTAAAAACAATAGTTCAGCTCCGATAAGTTTCTTACAGTGAGCTTGTTGCTTCAAACTACTGTTTAAGGTTTGGTAAAAGTTTTTGCAAACTTTTTTTTTGGCAAGCAGTACATAGAGGGGAGCCTTGAAACCGTCAGAAAGGAGAAAGGAGGTTAGGGAGAGTCAACAAAGTGCGTTCGTTGTATTCCCGTGTGATTTGCGTTGTATTACCATATAGTAATTAATAACAAAAATAATTTAGCCTTTTTCCTCAGAGAATCTCAAAGCACTTTACATCTTTGGGTGGGAGACACTTCATCCATCACTGAAGTACCGCATCCACTTCAGTTACTTGTAGCAGCAATTATGTGCCAGCTATACCAATAAACTGTTTATTCATTAACTGAATTAAAAAGAAAAGAATTAAAAAGTGCCTCAACCATTACACTAATACCTCTACTTAAAAATCTGGCTGAGGCGCAGAACATCTGGAGATCTTAAATGACCAAGTTTTCAGGACTTCAGTGTAACATCTCATCCTAAGGACAGTATCTGCTACTGTACCTCTATCTGCAAAGCCATCAGCCCTTCCAGTTCCCAGAAGCAGATTTGCCACTAAAAGCCTGGATGTTTCATAATTTCATAATCAGTTTATTTTACTCAATTCAAATTTGGCCTTGTTTGTTATTTTACAATGGGCATATTTAGGACTCTATCAGGACCCTGTCGGATAGGATCTGAGATCATTGTGAAGAAAAAAATGGAAAATCTTGGATAGACCAAGTCAATCTCCAGATTTAAATCCAAATAAGCATGTTTTTTACTTAAAATATTGAATTCAGGAGGTCCTAAGAAAAGGCTGGACCAATATCTGAAAGTATTATATGAAGATTTTGGTGTTTCAAAACTTTGCAGTCACTGGTTTTGTCTTTGTGTACATCTGTCTTGTACACATTGTCAGATTGTGGTATGCATGCATGTGTGTATACTGTATATGTGTACCCTGCAATGGACTGGTGTCCCATTCAGACTGCTTTGTCCACTTTGCTTTCAAGATGTTTCAGTTCTTATGATAACACATGCTAAAGATGTGCTAGAATTGCAAAGGCAAATAAGAAATTGAGAAGGAGCAAAGTATTCAATATTTTATTAAATAAAACAGGTGAATTAATCTGATGACAAGAGAGAAAGTGTTGCATTGATGGTACTTATTAAACTCTGTCTTCAGGTAGGTTGTTAAAAGATTATTTATGTGCATTTCTAAACTTTTAAGTGTTGGAAACTAAGGGAAATGGCAGTCTAAAATGGAGAACTAAAATGAAATTGTCTTAGTGAAATGCACATCAGAAGAAACTCCTGTGGGAGAAAGGACGAATTCAAACTACAGTTTCAAGCAATCAATCAATAACACTAGGGAGATACTGTCTTATTTGGGGAGAAATCAATCAAACACAGTTTCTGAAGACAACACCATGTCATGTGATTTAATATATAGTAATTTCTTTTAGTTACTTGTGCACTGTATGGAAAGATCTTCTTTGTTATTATGCCATAGACAAGAGCACATACGTGCCCATAAAGAAAGTCAAATGAGGGGTAAACTGAGCCTGAGAGGGAGCTGGAAAAGATACAGGCAGAAGGTAAGATGGAGTGCTGCTGTGTGGAGAGAGAGGGCAAGGAAAAAAGCCTCCTCAGATGATGTCCACACGGGCAAAGGACTGATCTACACCCAGATTGTTCTCAACAAATATTTCGTATTTCCCTGCATCTGATGGCTGTGCATCTTTGATTGTCAGGGTTGTGGAGGTGTCCTCTATTTCGTAGAATACTCTGTAAAACAACCGAAGGAGAAGAGGCATTATACAAAGCATTTTATTCTGAGACCCTCAGTAGGTATTAATTTAAAAAAAAAGGTTCAAGCCGTATGAAGACAATATCTAAAGGAAATTTCAAGACTGTGAAATTGCCCCAGACCCAACTAAATCATGACAGATCAATAACCGCTGAGCTCTTCAGTACTGGTAAACTTAAATACCTTCAATGGTATTTCAGAAGGTTGTTAGCATCAATAATGGTAAAATGAGTATTTTGTAACAATGAAATTACAGAGGAGCTTAGTGTACTGTTTCTCACAAATAAGGGTTATTACCCTGAGTACTTATTCAAAAATGCTCTGTCCATGAGTCATTGTGATAAAAAGAGCTTTGAGTTCTTTGAGTGGAGTAATTGTGGATTGTAAAACTATCAACAAACTGAAAAATAAATTTGACTTAAATTCTTTCACTCTTTACCCCCCCACACAGATACTCAATAAATCTTATGCTTCATATGTTTGAGAGAATGATTTTACATGACCCTTGAAATTTGTTGCCTTGTGCCAAAAAACAAATTGTGCATTGGATATTAAAGGTGATTTTGGACAGACTATAATGTTTTTTTTTTTTAAACAAAAGTACAGCAAATGCAATTGGATAACTTGTGTACATTGTACACTGTATATGACCAGTCTGCCAGTTATCTTTGAAGGCCAGAGAAGGTACAGCTGACAGTAGCGACAGTTCTCAGATTTGACTAGTATTGCTTTCTACCTGTTATCTTCCTCAATGTCCTCTCCATCTTTTGCCCAGCCCACATCTGGAGCTGGGTCCCCACTGATCTCTGCTTTCAACACTACTGTTGATCCCTTCTTCACCTTCACGCTGTCTGGACCCTTGGCAATCTTGGCAGGAACTGTGGACACAAGTAGATACTTTACAGTAAATTTAGATACTACTCCTGCTACTATATTGATTAGTTGTTTAGATTAGATAGTTGTTTTCTGATTTTTGTTTTTTTTCTCTTTTGGATGTGTAGCCAAACCACCTTTTGATTTAAAAAAAACAGGCAAAAGGACCCTGAATAAAAAGGAACCATTAAAGGAATTTAATAGTAAACTTAGTTTTAAAGTTTGCAGTTTATGGGGGACTTTGTTCTTTTTTGTGGATATGTCACTTTTGTAAGTACCTCATTGCAGCTTTGAAGACAAATCATTTCGAACTCATGAGTGGTCCTAATTATATTTATTAAACTCTGCTTATTATTGCTTAATTGTTACTTACCTTTGTTATGCTCTCATGGTATCTTATGGATGCAAATGTTTCCTTATTTGGAATTCCTCTACTTGGAGTATTAACCCAATCATGTATGTTCTTTTAAAAATTATTAACAGTGTCATCTGAGCTTGTCTCTCATGGTGATTCCATTCTGGCATTTTGGATTGGTATTTATTGGTATTTAGTATTATGTAAGTACATTAATCTATTCATATATATCTACCTAAAAGAGACCCTACAATATTAAAGCAAATATTACATTTTAAGTTATCTAAAGAGAAGAAACAGAAAATTATATTTGTTGTAACTGGCAAAATGCATACTACAAATTTGGAGCTGCAGTATGGAATAATGGCTAGTACACTGAGTTTCCAATGGGTGGATAATACATTAAAATTCCATGTAGGATGCTGTTTTTATACCTTTGAGAAAGGTAGATCGCTCCAGTAAATCATCCTGTATAAACGGATACTTCTCAGATTATTATTGTGAATGGGAATTTGTTCTCAATCAATTTATCTTCTTTAAATAATGGATTAGAATGTGCTATGTAGCTACAGTACATAGGTAGGTAAAGTCCCCTTTTCAGCCCATAAAGGCCTATGGGAACTGGGGGACAAGGTCTCAGTTGGAAGTGGAGATGATGTGGTCAGCATCACACTCTGGCTGGCCTATTACCCCCAGAAGGACTTATCCCCGGTACTCATTGGGAAAGCAGGATGAGTGGACCTGGGAGCCGTCTGGAAGGAATTAGAGCAAGCTACATCGCTTGCCCCTATGTAGCTACATAAGTCATTAAATTATCATCCTCGGAGAAACAAATATTTGTATAATAAATACTAATATTGTTATATTAACAATGTGTGTTCAATTTCAACTAGTATTCACTGATTGTAGAAAATATGTGGAATAGATATAATCAGAATAAAATCTACGTCTTTGATTTCTGAAAAGCAGTAGTAGACCCCTGTGTAGTTTTGATGGTGTGGGAGCGGCTGGAATGCTGTGTGCGTACCTTCCACTATTATTCGGGCTGAATCATAGGCCTCTCCAAAAGTGTTTTTGACCGAGACGGTGTAGCGGCCTAGGTCATTCAGCACTCCATCCCGCACGACAAGTGCCACTACATCTGGGTCTTCAAACACATAGCGGTACTTGGGACCATCCTTTAGTTCCTTGCCATCCTTGGACCAGACAATGAAGGGGTCAGGGAAGGCGCTCACTCTGCACTCCAGCTTGGCTGCACTGCCCTCAATCAAGATCACATCTTTCAGCTCCTGTAGGATCTTGGGGGGACCCTTTTCTCTCATCTCCTTGCGAGACCTAAGCAGAGATGCATTAGGAAGTGTGGTAAGGAAAATGTAAATGCTCAACAGCTTGGCACACTCTGCACTTCCACAGCACACGTCAGAGATCTATTACAATGTTTCTTGATTAACAAGAAGCAGGGGAAAAGTATGATACACATCCATGGCTAAGGGTTTTCTTCTTTCCTATCATTTTTGGTCAACAGAGCAGGTACATTATCAACCAAAAGAGACACATAAGGAAAGCATTATGAATGTCTGTAACAAACTGCCCAACATCTAGTCTTTGAACACTGCTGTTGAATTTGACATAAGATTCTTAAAGAAAGTCCCACCTTTTTTTAAGACCATCTTAAAAAAAAATCCTCAGGCCTGTAACCTCTTTATTATTTATTATTATTACATTCTATTGCAATACCTGTGACCTCTGTAGGAAGCCTGGATGCGGATAGCTGCCTCTTGAATTTGGGGGTCATTGATATCAATGGTGCATCCTGGTGGGGGAGGGGCCACCTTTTTGGCAGGTGCTGGAGCTGGTTTGGACATCTGACCAAAATATGTAACATTATATTTATCTGATGACATCTGTTAACATTAATCAATAATGACACAAAGACTAGGCTACATGGATTGAAAGGTAGTACATGAAAAAGTCATGGGTGTCTTGAACAAGTGCCACACAGCTGTGTTGTTGAAACTGATGCCTTCAGACCTCTTGAGAAGTGAATGATTGAGATGCGTAGATCCATTAGCTACTGCTAACCAAGTGAGCAAGTTAGACTAAACGACCTTCTCACATTTGTAATTTGTAATCTTTTGCAAACAATACAGTAGACATAACACAGAGTACCCTTCTTGTTCCATGTTGGAAAATAACATTTAAGTGAATAATGGCTACTTAATGAGAATAGTTCTGATGTACTGGAATCAACAATAAACACCAATCAATAGTAACCCACATCAATTCATACAATTAATAAAGATATAGCTAGAACCTTGATTAACAATATGATGATATGATACTATTATGATACTATAACATATTATGATATGAAGTTGCTATACAGTCCTGTATTAGAGAAAGTGCACACCAAACAAATTCACGTTGTTTTATATGTATGCAAAACACATACAATTTCTCTAATCACAGTGTCTAAAATTATGAAAATCAAATTAATTAAAACTAATATTCCCCCATAATCAGAGATGCCTGAAAGCTTTTGCCATGAACATGTACATATTGTTAGAACAAAACTTTTCTAAACAGAAAATAAAGACCAACCAAATATGTTTCAATAATCCATGAAAATATACAATGGCATGCAGTATCTATGATTTATTTATATTTGTACTATGTGATGATTGTTAAACTGGTTTTTGATTATACAATGGTGCCAATGTGGTACCCCACAACTCTTTTCATCACCATGTTGTTTGTTTCTACGGAGATTTTGTTGTGCTACCTCTGGATACTGTGACACTTGATAACAAGAGCAACACATAAGCCAGTTTTCCTAAGAGGGGTTTTCATAATTCTGTAATTAAATAAATGTCATGACTTACCCTGGTGCAGCTTATTCACCAGCCTTGACCAGTGCTCCACTCACTCCGCACGATAAAGCTGTGAGGGTGTCCACCCCTCTGGATGGGGCTTTATAAACAGGGCTCCAGAGGGGTTTATCTAAGTCCAAAGTTGACTGGGAAGAGGAATCCACATTCCAAGGCTGAGCCTGCCCTTCTTCGGACCATCTTCGGAAGCTGCAGCTCAGTGAAATTAATAAAAGATGGCCAACAGCCAGACTGTTTTACCCTTGCCGAGCAGGCAGACAGGCCATATATAGCCGTCAGATAAATACCCCAGAGGGTTTTTGGGGGTCACTAATAGCAAGTTCAGTGCTGTGCAATCAAATACTTAATCTTTCAGGGTGGAGGAATGGTGTGAAACGTGAGTGCTCCCCAGTGAACTAGCAAGCAGGTGCGCTCTAGTGGGGCTTATAAAAGGACTGCCTGGTTTGGGCTAAGGATCATGACGTAATAGAGGTGCATTGATTAGTTCTGTAATGTTACATTACTGTATTTTCCCTTTCCCTTTATTATTTTTCCTTCAGTTCATTTGCTTTGCCAATCAGTTCAACTGGTACTGAATAAAATAATAATAATTAATAATAATTGCTAACACTTATATAGCGCTTATCTGGACAGTCCACTCAAAGTGCTTTACAGGTAATGGGGACTCCCCTTCACCACCACCAATGTGCAGCATCCACCTGTTTTATGCCATCCATACTGTATATCCACCCCGTTTTCAGGGCTAACCTGTCTGTGTTTTCCAGCGCTGAAGTCTTTCATGCTCTTGAAGTGCTCACCCGGGACGCACATTTAATTTGTTTACATGCCTTTATATGTAAGTGATTGCACAGATATGAATGTACACTTGTTTTGATTACAATTTCAAATCAAAAGATGAGCAATGTTGTAGTAATTAAAGGGTATTGTTTTGTCTGAACAAACTAAACAGCTGCGTTAAATTCTCTGATATACCCAGTAAATCAAACATTTTGTTGTAGCCTTTAGGGTTCATGGATTCTCATAATAAACATCTCATTCTCAAAATAAACAGCATTTAATTAAATATTAAATATAATAGTGATTAAATCATCACTTGAATGCGTAATCTATCAAAGTTAAGAGAGTGATATACTGTTCCTTTATTATTATTATTATTATTATTATTATTTAATTTATTGCATGTTTATCCATTACGCATGGTGACTTGTACTTTGTGGATGATCTGCCCCTTGGACCATTATATAACTGAAAATACCTCTACCATTATGGAAATCAACAAGAAGTGAAATGTGAAAAATGACAAGAAACACAATAACTAACCTACAGGTTTTGATTTAATGGGCGTCTAGCCTGCTCTTCAAAGGCTTACTTACCAGTTCTATTAACTGCTAATAAGATTGTTCACGTGCCCTGAAAGAAGATTCACTCTAAATTACTGTAAAGTCATTTCATTTTTGATCGTGGTTTAATCATTACGTCACTTAAATTACCTGTTAAATGTGTTCTACAGATCATTTTGTCTTTATATATGAAAAAAGTGGGGAAAATATTCTGAATGTAAACTAAACTATGAACAAAGTATGATCTTAATGACAAAAATCACTATTCAAATAGAAAAGCACTTATTATATTATAGTACACTATATACACCTTTACTGAAATAAATTAAATTAATGAATCTGTTGTAAATGATGAGTATTTTAACAAATAATGTTAAGTATATGTAATATCAATATATTTTGCTGAATCTACCTTTCTGCAGCAACTTTAGTGGTCTTGTCATTGTGTGCATTTCAGATTATTGCAGATGACTACAATGAGTTTCCAACACTAATGGCAATTTATAATTTGCTAGTATCATCAAAAGAATCAGCAAAATAAAGGCATAACTCACACATTTTGTACATCCACAAAATACCACGATTGATTCATATTCTCTTTATTTTTATTTTCTCAGCTTTCATGCCGTGGTTCCACACCAGAGTTAAATTAGTAATTCCACAAAATCGTAAAGGTTTCAGAGTCATACTGAGCCTGAAAAATAAATTAACAAACCACTAGAAACAACATCTACAAACTACGATAAATAGATTGTCACTGCTGTGAATTTACAAAAAGAAACGCTCTTGTTCATAGTAGTTTTAAAACATAAGCTAAGGCCCGTTCCCAGGTATTGAAGCTTAACCATATCATTGGATGTCCAATACTTCTGGCCCAGTGATCATCAGACCTTCAAAACATATGGAATATGCTAACCTAGAAAATATGTTTGCAGTAGATAAGCAACAAATAAAAAATATATTGAGTTTCCTCTGACTTTCTTTTTTTGGATGTGTGGCATATTAGTGTGCTTGCTGTTTAAATTTGCCATAGAGCTGACTCTTCATTCATCACTTTCCAGGCTGTTTTGAGTGATTTTCTTTGTCATCTTTTTACAAAAATATATTGCCTTTCCTGGGAACGAGCCCTTACTACCTCATTACCCAGGTGCATGCTGTGAACACGCAAATTGCCAAGGTAACGGCTGCACTTGATATAAAAGAGTCAGATTAGAGTGCAGTAGCATAGAATTTCTTATTTGCTCCCAACCAAAGGAGGCTTAAAGGACAGTGTTTGTTTTCTTGAAATGATACAAAATGTACACAATATAGCATCCGTGAATACATTTCGTTACATAGATATGTGTCTTCCATCAAAAAGTCTCTGATCTTTCAGTATTGGATGTGTAATTGGGCAAACAGCTTCAGTTGCTAATGATAAGTCCTGCCAGGTTTATTGAACTTTGAACAACAAAGGGCATTACTCATTCAGGTCCAATTACATCATTCACAAATCAATATTTTCTTCAAAAAGATGATTTTAAGCTGTACTAGAATCCCCTGCAACCAAGCACTTTATAGTTACATATTTTTCAACATTTATCTAATTTCAGTTTTAGATCTTTTATATACATATATAGTATCTGTATATAAATACACACATATGGGAAAAGAGTCAAATAGAAGCGGAAAAATAACAACAAAACATCCTATATAATCTTTATATATGTTCCTGTGTTTTATTGTTTAATACTATATATATATATTCCACTTTATATTACCAATTAATTGTAATTTGGGAAATTTGTTGAGAAATATCAGTTTCACATTAATCAGCCTCGCAGGTAATGTTAGATGGAAGCAAAAGTTGTTGATGGTGAATGTATTTACTTCTCAAATTAACTTGTTACAGCTAAGCAATACTGCTTTTTGAAAAAGAATCAAAACAAGCAATTTCAGACAACAGGGTGATCAGTAACAGCTTCCCTGACAAATCAGATACAACAAGTGCCACACAGAAGAGATTTGCATTTGTCCCCGATATTATGTTTCACATCTTAAAATGCAATTCAAAACAATTCCTACAAAATGTTCAATAAACCCATTCACACTTCATGTTAAAGGAAAATGAAAGGGAAAACACAAATCCAATGCCTGACATTCATTGAATATATACTGTACTAGTGTGATCATTCACATCTTGGTGATTCTGTACACATTAGTGAAAGTAAAGTAGCTCTGTGCAAGTAAGTAAACTTTGTAATGTGAATTGTATAAAATGTAAATGCTAATATTACTAAATTATCTTTACACCCCTCTCAAAAAGCAAATAAATAGGTTACCAAATTTGCTAATAAAAGGATGACAATAATAATAACTCATACAGAGATAAATTAGTAATTCCACAAAATCATAAAAGTTCTAGAGTCATACAATTAGATCTGATTTCAGAACACTAGATCTGAATTTAAGATTTTTATGTTAGTAGGGCATTTCAGTGCAAACATGTGAGTTAGCCTTACCTAACAGTATTATTATTTGCCCATGGAAGAGCTTTACTGTTGGATTTGTTTGGACAATACTGTATAAACTATTTTAATTTTCAGTGTTAAGGTAACATTAAAAAGGGGAGTGGCTGATAGTGGCAATGGAATAGTATCAGACCTTTACAAGATAAACAATTCTGAAACCATAACAGAGTTCTTCTCCTGTATATAAGAGCCATATTGCTCTTCAATGATTATACAAATTGTAGTTCCTATGAGGTTTAGTTAATTGTATTTTCCTGTACAAATGTTGCTGAAGTTTGGTTCTGTTGTAAAATGAGATTCAGATTGCGATTTTGTAACTAAAAACAAATATCAAATGCTACTGTTGAATCATCCACCAGCTGTTTATGACATTGACTAGATTAAAATCCTGCATTTGTCCTGATAATGTTACGCAGAAGCAGTGTAGTACTACTCATATTTACAGTATTTATCACCAAGTTGTTGTACTTAAGTTAATTGTTATTAAAGAAAGTTTTCTCTTTGAACCTGTGCTTATGTAATAACAGCCTTTATAAATAGTAAAATTTATGAAAAGGGTCAGGTACATTAATGATACTTGAAATGCTTTAATGGATTTTCACGCACTATAAATAAAAAATTCTTTAACAGGCAAAACGTCTAATCTACCAGTAATGGTAAATTGTAAAAACTGCAAGGTTTGTCAATGCCAGAAACAGACACAGTATCTTACAGTCTTTGGTAGTATGCATTGTAGACTAATAGTACTGCTACTTCAAAGTCATGTCTGTTACAACATTGCTATTCTCCCTTTTGAAACAGACAAAATATTTCTAACAATAAGCAAACTGGAAAACAGGCAGCCACATGATGATGAAAAAACCTTCTTTGTTAGATACACTGCTGTAAACGAACACGTTTAATTGTTTGGGATTCTCATGATATCTCATGGTGTGTGAACAACGATCCTAATTAGATATCTTCTTGTATTTTGCTTACTGACAGAGAAGTGTCAGCAAGAACTCCAGATGAAGAATATGAATGCCAGAGAAACTGTAAGCATCTCTGTTGTTTGCACTCAGAAAAAAAATATTCAGGTTTTACATGATAAAGTTTTTTTCTGTGTGAAGCTACCGTAAACAGTGTTATACTGAACAATTCAGCCTTGGTGCCTTAGGCATTATATAGCATTGGATTATCATAGCCTTTGGAAGTATGCACTTCAAGGAAAGGATTTAGCAGCATCCATTATACTAACATTTTCAGTGCAGGAATTGTTTGTTTTGCAGTACACAGAAACTAGGTTATCACATGACAGATTAAACTCTTAGCCACGGCAGAGTGACCTAGCGTTAAAAGCTGAGAAATGACTAGGTGAGAGTTTGGTATTTAAATTTCCAATCCCAACTCACAGCCTACAGTGTGGATATAAAATGTGGAGGGGCTGAGTCAATTAGCCTCCTTGTGCCTTGTGTACAAAATGGGTTGGACCAGCCCCTCACCACAAACTTAAAAGGTCCACACTAGTTAAAGCTGCCTTTTCTACAGACCTACAGGTATATATACATATAATTTGTATCATTGTAAGATGTAATTACAAGGCAAGTCATTTCATTTCAATCATCCATTTATCTGGGTTCAATATTTACGCCTTTGAGATTTAAATGTATGTTTGCAAACCATGTAAACAAACTAGTCAACAGAAAGTTTCCACTTTCTGATATAACAGTTTCCACTAACATTTATAAAGATTTGATAGTGATTTGGGCAGATAAACATATCTTTTCAGGCCTACCTAATGTACAGAGAAGTTAACGGTAAAAGCAGCAATTAAAGAAAAAAATAATTTAAAATTAATGTCACAAGGCAAATCAGCAAAAAATCAGCCCTCAGTTAAACAAAGTCACAGAAACAATGTTTCCGCTAACTGTACATTGTGACTCAGCTGCTGACTATGAAATATAGTGGATTTCTTGATATTGTCCTTGTGACATAACTGTGATGTACTTCAGTGTCAAATAAATTTTTAAATAGTTGTTTTCTTCCCTTGAGATTTTCAAGACTCTTCTCTTGTGGCGATTGATGGTAGAATCCATTATATACAGTACAAGAGAAAATGTGGTTTAATAGGATTCGGACAATGTTGCTTTGTCATATGTACACTGTCAAAGACAGGAAATAAGAAAGCTAACATCAGGTTACACAATGGTCACTTTCCCACATCTTCAATAGAGATACAGGATGGGTAGTTTTGTGACATTCCAATTAACTGTCTCCACTGGCAAAACTTTAAAATAAGCAGAAAATTAAAATATTTCCAATGACTCCAATTTCCACTACAAAGATATTCTCTTTTACTGACAACTTTCTTCCAACTGCTCATTGTAAAGTTTATCACACTTAAGCACCTACCAGAATTATCAAATACCGCTTTAAAAATGTACCAATAACACAAGAATGCTACTTAGATATTTAAAAGACCAGCAGTAAAAGGTGCATCATCATTCTCCAGAAAGTTCCTAGGATTCTTCTAGGAAAAAAATTAAATAATTATATATTGATATGAACATTTCAGGAAAAAGTATTAAATCTAGAATTTGTTTTTAAAAAAATTCTAGATATGTGAGCCTTACCAGAGATAAAAATTCCTAAACATAAAGAGGAAGGTCTCTGTTTTTTCATTTTTCAATACCCCAAATAAGTGTCCTATTATGCAAAAAAAACAGTAAAGCTCTGTTAAAATATTGGGAATAATATTACAGAAAAGAGAGAGGGTTTTGTACAATGTTGCATTGTCTTCCCAATTTACACCAAACCACTCAATACTCCCTTTTGGACAGTCCATGAGGTATATGTTTTGAATTCCATTTTCATGTTTCAGTTTTTTCCTGTTTTATTGTCATTGTGGCTGGTTTTTGCATGATAAAAGCCAGACTCGAGAATACATGTCATTTCCGGCCTGCTATATTGGGATGATTATACCAGACATTTAGATCTGGGCATCAGGCTGGTGTGTGCCACTTGTGCCTTCTGTAGAACCTGGACTGTTCTTCTCACTTGACCCCTTTCTGGCGCTGATGGCATGGCTGCTTTCACTGGGTCACAGGAGCTGCTGGCTGTTGGGTGCTCTGATATGAACGCAGGAGGACCTTGTGCTTGGTGGCGACCTCTGACCTCTTGCGCTGGTGCTCCACCAGGAACTCCTTGAGCCGTGTTGTGGTGAAGGTGAGAGTCTGTCGGCGTAGCTTCATCAAATAGGCATCTTGCAGCCAGGAGTTGGCAAAACAGTCCTTGATGGTTGGTCGAGCCCTAAATGGTATATCATTATGTGCATATAAGACTGTGAGACATACAGTATAATGATGGGAAATTAATAGTCAAACACCACAAGTTTATGATGCAATGTCTCTGATCTTTGCTTGTTTCTTTGTGATGAAAATAAGAATACTTTTTTAAGAATACTTATTTCACAGTGCTTTTTTTAGTCTCCATTTTCTGTTGAAGTCATAGATGTCAGTTTATAAATCACTTTAAAAAATTCTGGGTCAAACCAAACCGAGCTTTCTTTTCCTCCGACACATCTGCATGAAATTAGCTTTTGAATTTGACCCGGTACAAGCAGCACTGTGGATTTGTTTGACTGTACTAGTTTATATTGAAAGATATACAAATAGTCATAGTCAGCAACTACACATGCATATTGAATTTATTTAAAAGAAACATTTCCAGTGGCAACACGATAGTGCAGTGGTTAGCATTGGTGCCTCGCAGTTCTGGGTTCAATTCTCGACCTTGGGTTCTATCTGTATGGAGTTTGTATGTTCTATCCATGTTTGAGTGGGTTTTGTCCGGGTTCTCCTGTTTCTTCCCAAAGTCCAAAAACATTGGGGTAGGTTAAGTAAATTGTTTGCGTGTCTCTGTTTGTGTCTGTCTGCCCTGCGATGGTCTGTATTGCATCCGTTGCTAGGTGAGTAGATTATGAATCAGTTAGAAAATGGAAGGATGGAAACACTTCAAGTTTGATTGACATTTAATCTACTATAACTTACCAATCAAGAGAGTTTAAATAAAAAATATTGACTCACCAGGGATAACTACACAGGATCTTCTTAAGGAAAAGGGAGGCACTTTGGGACACATTTGGGTACAGTTTCGTTAGGTCAAATTTTGCTGCCTGGATTTTGGTCTCCATCTCCAATGGGTTAACTTCAAGGAATGGCAATCTGCCACTGAGCCTGACAAAGAATGGGAAAATAATGTGATCAATGCAAAAACAAGAGAATAATTTTCTTTTGATTCTTGATTTCTTGAATCTTTACCACTTTAAGATATAAAAAAGGCTGCTTATGTTTAATTCAGTACTTCAATATAATATATTTTCAAAGTTATTTTCTAAGCTATTTTTTCAAAGCAAGTGAGCTAAGTCTCCTCTCATTTGTAATTATTTAAATTCTTAACTTTTTAGCTTTTAAAAAAAATGTTACATATCCTTTTTCAAACACAACATCAATATCTTTTATCAACCAGGATAAATTATTTTTACAATCAAAACTGAATTGTTTTAATAATGCCATTTCTGTAAAGCACAGCCTCAGGTCTTGTTACTGTAGAATTTTGTGGCACTGTTATTTTTTCAATTTCATATGTGTTCATTGCATGTTCTCTGATACGTGTGATAAAGTATCTTTTATTCAAGGAGAAATCATTGTTTTTTTGTCTCTTTTTATAAAAATGGATAAGTGGTCAAGGGATACTTACATGACATAAGTCAGGACTCCTAGACTCCAGATATCTGCTGGAGGGCCAACTACATCCCCTTTAATCATTTCCGGAGCTTTCAGAGGGAAGAACAGAGGAAAGAGGACAGAAGGAGAAAGGAGGGGTTGAGCATGTGGAAGGCAACAAACAAAAAGAGGAAAAACAAGAGGAGAGAAAAAACGACAATAGGACAAAACATTGAGGACAAAATATCAGACCATTGGTGGAATGCAGGTACTGTATATGAAGGCTGATACATTTTGACTAGTGTCAGAGAAAGTTATATAGGTGGAAAAGATTAATCATTCTGATTAGATAAAGAAAAAATTAGGTGAGAGTAGGTTACAGCAGCACACAAATTCATAATTCTAAGGATTCTACAATGTAACAGCCAATATAACAGGCTGCTGTAGGTAATTTTATATTGGTTGTATGCATTCCTCAAAGATTTGCAGGTTAAAGAGCATATTCCAAGATTGATCTTGGAATTGTCCTATATTATCTTGTTTCTCTTCCAACGTAGCTCTTTATCAGTTAAGATAATTGAAGCTTTAGTTTACTGTAGCTAATTGCTTGATTTACTGTAACTGTTTTCTGCACTCAGATGCTGGTTTCATAAACAATTTATGTGGATCATACCCAAGAAATGTAGTGAACAATTTTTTGTCTTCTAAAGGACTCATAACTCATAAACAACTAATGATATAAAGAAACATTAGGTGGGAATGACACTGTACAAACTATTCTAATAATAATCATTCTTAGCAATATATTCACTGATAAGTTTAATTTCACCTGGTCATTTAAACAATTACCCTAAATGATGGGAGTTGGGAAACCTAGCATCCAATGTCAAATCATGTCTTATTTAAGATCGGTATTTATTAATCCATTAAAGAATTAAATTAAAATTTTGATAAACTTAATTAAGAAAAAGCTCCAGTGAAATAAAAATGAAGACAAGGGGTACTCCAGGAGTAGCATTGATAAACACTGATATGAAATATACAGTACATGCTCATAATGTTGCACTCCTTCTGAGAGATACTCATGCATATATTTTTATTCTGCCACAGATCACTACATAGAAAACAAATGCAAAAACTTTATGAAGAGTGTTGATGGGAGCACATAAAGAAAGATTAAAGAATGCTTATATCTTTTGATTTTATAAACATTTCGATACAAATTTGAAGTTTAAAATTAGAAATGTTAAAACTGTATAAACATACAAACTTTTAAAGGAACGTGTGAGAGCCTTTAACAAACGTCGGACGTCAGTACAATGCTTTTCAGAAAAGTTATTCAAGCTGACAGCCCCAGAACAGAAAACTGAATTGAAAAGAAACGGAGTACAAAATGCAGCACTGTAGTTTAGCTGACAAAACCGTGGCACCAAGTAAAACTCGAAAATTGAGGAGTGACTCACACATATACTCCAGTGTTCCATGGCGTTGACTGAGCTGTTTGAGGAAGAGAGGGTTAAAGGTCTGCGCACAGCCAAAGTCAATGATCTTGACCACATTCATGTACGTGATAATGATGTTATCTGGCTTGATGTCCAAGTGCAGGATACGACGATTGTGCAGGTACTCCAGACCCTGGAGGATCTGAACAATGTAGCCCACCACATCATCCTCTGAGTAACGAAACCTTGGGGACAACAATGTAAAACACTACTGAGAAAAATCTTATCCTAAATCTGATTCACATGGGTCTACAAATTAAAGCTGAAACAGGATGCATCACATTTTTTTATTGTTAAAGTCTGTAAATATTACATAAAAATCAGGTAAACTGTTCCTTTCTTTTAATCCAAGATAATTTTCCTACAGTATGATATTTTTTCACATAAGCAAGACTTTATCACAAATGTAGTTCAGGTGGGTAGCTGCGTCAGCATGCGTAGGCCGCAAAACACCTGAAGAAGGTTCTCGCACCTGAAGAAGGCTCCACGGCCAAAACGTTGTGTTCTCTTTCTTCTTTTTTTCAGCATGGAATAAACCTATTATTTGTTCCTTTCTCACAAATGTAAAAGTCTTGTGTATCTTGTGTGTTGTGAGGTCAATAGGATGCATGTTCAAATCAATGTAACAATTAAAATACACACTCACATCTGGGATAAAGATGACAAAATATTAAAAATAATATTAAAAATGAATTAAAAATAAAGTGAATTCTAGCCACATTATAAGTTAACAGAGATTTAGATAACTGTAACAGTTATTTTGCAGATAATGAAATAGACCAGACAGTATGCTTTGTAACAGTACAAAGATATAATTCATCTGAGTAAATTTTAATTTCATATTTAAATAGCACACATACAGTGAATCCTACAAATACGTGAATATTTTTGCTAATAAGTTCTACACAACAGATACTACTTGAAATGTATGAAAAACACTTTAAGCAGAAAGGCTGTGATCAAAAGCAATATCTTCATTATACAGGACTTCAAGGGGTTTGAAAAAGCATGTGTTTGTGTACAGGCAAAGAGACTACAGTTTAACATAGCATAAAGAAAGAAAACATACATTCTCTTAAATGAACTCCCACATGCCAAATATCATATCTTATACCACAATCAATACTCCTTTACGCAAATAGCTTCCTTGTAACAAGCTGTTATGTATAAATATCTACCTGAGCACACAGAGTCTGACTCACCTGTCAATGAGACTGTAGAGTAGTTCTTTGCCAATGCAGGACTCAGAGATAAGAACTAGGTATCTTGGAGTGACATAGGCTTCATGCAGTGCCATAATCTTCTCATGGTGCAAAGACTTGAGAATCTCATACTCCTGCAGCACTGCCTGCTTGCTCTCCGGTTCATACGGAACAATTTTGGCCATGAAAAGTTTGCCTGTTGCATTCTCTCTACATTCTCTAATAACTCCATATCTGCCCCTGACAGACACAAAAAAGACAAACGTGTCATATTAAAAATCACATTAGTCTCTTTTATTTGTTTTGTGGCTTTTTCCTTTGCGTTGTAGACATTGAAAATGACAATTGTACCAATTAATCAAAGCACTACTCAAAGTCAACAAAGCAGAAATTATTACAATCCTTTTTAAATGATATGAGAAGCTGTTTTTTAAAAAACTGATACATTATATTATTTTTCAAATAAAATTTAACATGTGGAGTTTATCAAAACAGTTTTCAATTAATAGATTTGGCATGGAAGCTTATCTATCCATCCTTCAACTTTTTAACTGCTTTAATGCAGGGTTGCAGGTGTGCTTCAGGTGGCCCACCCACACAGACACAAATACGCACTCACTCACACCAGGGCCAATGTTTCCAGAAGCCAATCATCCTACCTATATGACTTTAGACTGCAGGAGGAAACCCATGCAAACACAGGGAGAACACACAAACTCCACTCAGACAGCACCCCAGAAATTGGAACCAGGGCCCCAGTGCGGCAGCAATGCTAACCACTGCAACACCGGACCACCCTCTAGAAGCTTACGTACAGTAGGATCAATTTTTTTAAAGTTTTGTTTTAAGTCATGAAGGTAATTTAGAGCAAATAGGAGAAAGAAATAACAAACAATGTAAACAAGACAACAAAAACACAGGTTTCATCTTTGATAAATGTTGTGGTAACACAATTGTATCTTGCTAGTTACCTGGCTTTTTCATCCATGAATGTGTAAGGTTTCTGTGGCACTCCTTGACGAAGCGCGGTAGTACCACCCTCTGCAGGTTTGGTGGAAGGTGTCATTCGGCCCGTGGGGGTCATACGTGTGGGAGTGGCGGGCCCCTCCCCTACAGGGCTCAGGCTGGTCACAAGCACCATGGGGGGTGAGAGAGAAGACACAGGGGAGGGAGGGATGTGGGTGGGCATGACTGGAACATACATAGGGACTGGCGAGATGGGTTTGCCAATGACAGGGGGAGGAGAAACTAAAGGGGGTGGTGAGACAGGAGGGGTGGGAGTGACGGATGGTGTCAGGTTTACTGGGGTTGGCGGCTTGGATGTGACAGCATGTGGTGTTGCTTGAGGGGGCTGAGGAATAGGTTGAGCCATAGTTGATGGTGAAGTGACAGCGATTGTCAGAGAGGTTTTAGCTGTGCTGAGGGTGGGGGTGACAGAGGAAGTTATTTGTGTGACTATCAGCTTCGCAGGGAGAGGAGATGGAGGCTTGGTGGGAAGAGGAGATGGTGTTTTTCTGGGAATTTCAACTGGAGCAGGCACAATGGGGGGCAGTGTCACAGCAGGAGGAGGAGTGGAAGGAACAGGTTTGATGGCAGTGGGTGCAGGAACTTTAGGTGATTCTGTGAAAAAAAATAGTACATTTCTTATAAATTGTTTAATTTTATAAATTGGGAACCCGACTCCTTTCTTTTTTAATGTGCATTTTTCTTCATTTTAGGATATTACGACACAACTCACACAAACAACAGCATCACACAGTTTTGTTATGACTGGACTTACTGACAGGTGGTTTAGGCACAGTTACATCATTTAAAAGTGCAATATGAATTACAGATAAAAAAAAAACAAAACATACAGTAAGTTAAGTAATAACATTAAATAACAACTGAATTCATTAAGGTTAAAGTGAAACTCCTGTGATAGCAAATTGGACTCATATTAGAGTCAACGCTGCAAAAACAATTTGTAATGCATTCATTTGTTTTTCATTGGTTTCATAATTCCACATTTTCAATCAAATAAATTAAGTTGCTGGTCAAGGTTCCCCTCACAAATGTCAGACTATTCCTGTTATTTCATTAGTTTCCCGAACAAAGTCCATGAATTCCATTTCTGTGTTTGATAATCCAGACTCCCTTTTTGTCCTGTACCTTGGTAACTGCAATTTTGTCTGAAGATATGAGGAAATCTTTTTCCCAACTTTATTTCGACTTTAAGCATTGAAATGGTAAGCTTTTGTCGTAATAAAAAAAAAAACATTTTAATTGATGAATGCCTTTTGATTCCCAATTTAGTGCATATGCTTTAAAAGCCTACCTTTTAAATCTATAAAAAATGTATTCTTGTAGCTGTTCCACAAAGGTACTGTGTGTTAAGATTGCACTGATTTTCAAATGCTAATTCTAATTTCTACATTTTGAAAAGAATCATAAACCTTCCCATGAGAGTTCTCAGTTAATCTCATTAAGGGCTTCCAATTCCATAACCTTCCACCAGCATCTTTTATGAATCATTCCATGACACAGTTTCGAGTATCTAGAATTAAATATAATGTAATATTGCAATGTAGTATTTATACAGTATAGGAACAAGTTACAGGTTTATTCCATGCTGAAAAGAGAAGAGATAAAACAAGACGTTTTGGCTGTGAAGCCTTCTTCAGGTGTGTGTGAAGCCTTCTTCACACCTGAAGAAGGCTTCACAGCCAAAACGTCTTGTTTTATCTCTTCTCTTTTCAGCATGGAATAAACCTGTAACTTGTTCCTATGCAGACTATGCATGCTGACGCAGCTATCCACCTGAACTACTTTATACAGTAAATATGCTTATTTTAAAAGATAGCTTATATTGATTTGCTTTCTGATCCATAAAAACGTATTTAGTAAGTACTTTAAAAAAGCTACAATGGAAAGGCAGTGAAATGGAAGAAAGCCAAAGGAGATTCTAGGTAAACTATTCATCTTGAGGATGTCTGTTCTACCACAGAGAGCACTTCAGAGCCCCACTTTTTATTGTTTATGTTTTTGTAAAGTTTGGTCATATTGAAAGGCGATACAGTATATCAGCAAAAGCCGCTTCATTACATTGACAATTTAAAGTTATTTTTTTAGATTTTCCCCTTGGAACTTTAAGCCAGAGAAACTACCAAAATATTCTGCTACATTGGGCTGCTTTTCCAATGGTACAGTACATAGATTATCCCCAATTAATCATGCAATGACTCCAAATCAAACAACAATAGTGAAAGGAGAAAACCCCTTATGTATTATGCATCTCTAGTTATTAATGTGTTATATATTAATGTACAGTAGTAAGTTCAGATCCTACCAAATTTATATGATACTTTAAATAAGTATGACCATTCTGACTGCTCAAATGCCTTCTTTGCATCCAATAGAATTGCAGTGGTGAGAAAGGGAGACTTCTTAGCATAATGAATAATATGTTTCCCAATGCTATCTAAAATTTACTTGTACTTAAGAAATGCAGGTTATTCTTTGCACATTAGTTTTGGAAAGAGTAGGTCTAATTGACAAGTGTAAAACCTTAGAATAGTTGTTGCTTATGGGTTGATATATGGGTTGATGTGTAGAGAGATTAATCATTTTTTAAAAACTATTATTTCTTTTCAATATCTGGCAATCCTTTAAATATAATACTGCTAAAATGAGACACTATTTCACACTACACAATCTATGGGCTAATACATTTCCAGTTTTATTGTTGTTTTCAAAATATTAATATTTCAGAATTAAATTCTGTTTTTTAATGTTTTAAAATAACAGTTGTGTTTTATGCACTTGAGGGTAATCTGATTGTTTTTATTCTTGTTTACATTACATAGGTACATTAAATCTTTTGACTGCTGTTCAATTTGTGTGTCTTTTTACAAAGGTGGTTTTGTACCTTCCCAGACTATTGGAAAGGTGCCTACTGAGTACTGTACGTAGTACAGTAGTTTCAAAATAATTTCAGGTTTACTACAAATGCAGTCAATCCAACCTGAATTACAGAAATATTAAATCTCCATATGAATGAGCAAATATTGTGCAATGATAGAACAAATGATAAACTAAAAGGAGAGTGAGTGTTATATATCATACTATGAATCTTTGCATCCCATACATTTGACAAAACAGCATTTATTCTGGAGTAAGATTTATAAGGTGTGAAAAAATAAGTTGATCTTTTCCATTGGATTTATCTGACACATCTGACAGTACATTTCAATACTTTTAAATAGAAAGTAAATAATGAAGTTGAAAAGGAGGCCTGTCTGCATTATGAATGCTTTGTTTTGGAATAAATTTAAAACAACGCACTAGAGCCCTGCTTTGCTTAGTTAAAGATCGGAATTAAGCTGGTCTGATATAATCAACCTTAATGCAGAAAAATGCATCCAGACTAACTTAAATGCAGATCTTTCTGATCAGGTTTAGAGCAACTTATTCTGTAACTGAAAATAAAATCATTTTAACATTCCAATTTGTCAGCAGGTTTTAACAATCTGGAGGTATTTTAGATTTAATAAGTCTCAATTTCTGAGATGTTTTTTACTTTTATGAAGAAATATCCTAAACTAAAAATGTAAAAAATGAGTAGCAGATTAATCAGATAATTGAAATTCACTTAATTTCTTCATTGTTTTAGTTGTTTTATATTATTTATTTACCTTGACTGTCGAGGGATACTTTCTCAGAGAAGTTACTGTAAGGTCCTTGTCCTGCCTTATTGACACAGGCCACTCTGAACTTAAATGTGCCACCTGTTGGCAAGTCTGTAACATTGTAGTAACAGTCAGGTATCCCAGAGGCAACAATGAGCCAGTCCGATTCACCTGATCAAAATGGAAGGAGGACAGCATTAAATTATGTTGGATGTTGTCTACAGATGACTTCTTTCATTATATACAGTAACACAACAGAACACCTCTAGCACAACATTTGTACATTTCTTTTTTTGGATGTACTTTAAATATAAAAAAATAATAGGAGGAGAAGTTTTAATGCAGATATTAAAAGGGAGAAAATGTAGCCCTCATGGATAAAGAATATTTAGTCAGGTTTAGTGTTTTCTTGTTGATTGTTCTATGCCTTCCCCTAAATATATACTTTCTACATATGTTTTGACCCATTTCTAGTTTGACCTTATCAAAATTGCTAAGTTCCTGGTTTTGAATTTTGTTAAAGAGGGAAACTAACTCCATCTTGTAGCTTAACCAGATTTGCTATACTGCCTTATAACCACGAGGTGGGGTTGATGGGTACATTTATTACTTACAGTAATAAACAGCCCTGGCTTTTGTCTGTACTTAAGAATAGAATTCTCCAACACTGTGTGGGCACAACAGTATCTTTATACTGACTAGATCCATCAACAAGCTTACAAATTAGTACATGTATTAAACCGGAGGACATTATTATTATTATCATTGTTTCTTCATGAGTTTAGACCATAAGTGCCTTCTACAGGAGATCTGAAATTACGCATTACGTTATGTGGGTTAATTAAATAGCTGCACAAGGTACAGTACATTTACCTTGACAATTCAATAGATAGATAGTATTTGAATGCTTATCCAGTTATAATCATCAAGGAAACAAAGCTTTTTATCTTATTTTGTTTTTAAATGAAATCTATATTTTGTCCCAGGCTTTAGTTCAGGGGTGTCAAATTCAATTCCTAGAAGGCCTTGTAGCTTTTGTTCCAGTTTGAGTTGACAATTAAACAATGAATAACATTATTATTTTCTGATGTAGACTTGTGTGGATTGTTTCTTTTACAGCTGACAACTGAAACATTAGTTCCACTATGGAACTCAGAGTTTGTGTGAAAAAAAACAGATGACATTAGGCTTTCCTACAAATGGGTATGACATCCCTGCTTTAGTTAAAGGTACTGTATGTAAGGTTTTTATTACAGCTACCTTCAGTCTTTCTTTCCAGTGTGTAAGTGCATGGTGCATATGTGTCTGAAGGCTTCCAAAGCACCAATGCTGTGTTCTTGTATCGCTGGGGAATCTCAGGAGTCCCAGGACGATTAGGAAGTCCTAAGCAAAAAGAGCAGCAGGTCACACATAGTTGATTAGACAACAATTTTCAAAAACCCTTAGACCATAGTATCTCTGAAGAGATGAAAGAACATAGCAATAGCAATGAAACTTGCATGATGTATAAAGTTCATGATAAAAAAGTGTCAAGTTAAAAGTGTAATGAAACACAAATCAGAGGACACAATTGTAAAACTACTTGGAAGTGCCTTTTATACAGATAAAAGGGTTTCTAATGAAAAGCCCTGCTTTATTTTTCCATTTTTAATTGTTATTTTAAATAATCTTAAATTAAAAACACTTCAAGAAGCAAATGAAAATACTGGGTTTATATATACCTTAAGTTTAGATGAACATCTATCCATCCATTTTCTAACTGCTTTCTCTAATACAAGATTGTGGAGGAGCTGCAGCCTTTCCCAGAAAGCAAAGGGTGCAAAACAGCATAGACCCTCCAAAGGACGGCAGTTCATCGCAGGGTTCACACAGGGACAATCTCAAACACACTCACACCGGGGACAGTTTTCCCAGAAATGAATTAACCTGCCAGTATGTCTCTGGGCTGCTGGTGGAAACCAGAGCACCAGAAGGAAATCCATGTGAACACAGGAGAGAACATACAAACTCCATGCAAATAGTACCCTAGGAATTTAACCCAGGCCCACGAGAAAAGGCAGTATACTGTCAATCAGAAATTAGCTCTTGCCATTCTGCCTCTTCCCAGGCCTCATTATATGATATCCTAATAGGTGTTAGAACACTAGCCTGCAGACTAGCTGATTTCAGGGTTAAGGGACGCACAAACAAAATCCATGCTTCTAAATTCTATATTTTGTTTAATAATGTATTTGAAATTCTAACACACCAAAACATCTCAAGCATTCCTGATTACAAAAAATAATGTCATATGAAATGCATCATGGCTCATAGTCCTTTAAATATTCAATAAAAAGTGGCTTTGAGTAACAAATAAAGCTTCAATAAAGAGTAGCATTGTAAGCATGCAAGATATGATTTGAAAGTATTTGAAAGGCTCTTTAATATGCATTAATATTATGTCACTTAGGAATATCCTGAGTAATCCAGAGGTCTAGCTTCACTAGACAAGTTATTGATATTGCAATTTACAAATCACCTTGTCTGCTACGGGAACTTGTTGCAGCTGTAATTCACTGTCCTGGATATGATCACTGTCTTTCAAATTAATACTCATGGTGTGCACTGTCAGAAAAAAATGCCTAGACAAATACTATGGTCAATAATTTAAGCAAATCTGTTTTCAAGGCCAACAACCTCCCCACCACCATCACTGCATCCCACAGGTATGATCACTAGATGACTCATTTTGTATTGAGAACAAACAGACTAACATACTTTTTTTTCACAAAGGAATGTCCCCAACTTATTGAATTTACTCACTAGCCAAGGAGAGAGTGCAGGAGCTCGTGGCTGAGGCAAGTGGGTTGGTAGCTACACATTCATAGAGGCCTGCATCCTTCTTGTTAGCTTTGAGGATCATGAGGAGTTGTCGGCCATCGGGACATGAGACAATGTTCATTCTGGAGTCTGGCACCACTGGCTTCTTGTCTGGGAACCAGAAAGAGAACCACTGTACATTGGATGTCCCTGTGACATTGGATGGAACTTAAAAAAGTTATAAAAATGCTGGAGGCTGTATCCATTAAATATAAGTGTTTTTAAAAGTATTAAAAAGCCCTCAAACATTAACAAAAAAACAAAACCTTCACTGATATTTGAAGTCAGCAGAGCCCCAGCAGAGCTGCCTTCCTAAGAGTTAATCATACTGTAGTTCTGCATAATACCTTCATCATCTGAAATCTGAATCAACACTGAAGATAATAAGGATAGTAAGGAAATCAGAGGTATAAAAATAGGTCTGTTGTCCTTCAGTTGTTCTGGAGGTCAGAGTGATGTGTAGTTGAACACTGCATAGTTTCAAGGCCTTGTCGATGTTTCTTCCAGCTGAATAAAGTTTTCTTTAAGTGTTTGGACGCTCCTACCCAACAAATCTGCACCTTCACCTTACCACTTGTTTTGGTCATGGTCATCTTTACTAGCCTGATCAACTTCTGCACTACTCCTAGGTGTCCTAGCGTCTGGTACAAGTATGCTCTATCAACACTATCATACACTTGCTTGTAATCTACAAATAGTTGATGGACTTCAATGTTATATTCATAGCACTTCTCTAAGATGCATCTGATAGTGAATTTATGATCTGTTGTTGACTGGATACATGAAATCCACACTGGTAGTCTCCAAGGCCTTGTTCAGCTTGGGCTTCTAAGCGACTGGCTAGTACTTTTGAAAAAAACCTTTTATGCAATGTTCAGCAGGGAGATCCCGCGGTAGTTCGAGCAGACTAGTTTTGACCCCTTTTTGTGAATGGGGCAAACAAGGGTAATGCTCCATTTGTCCGGAATATTTTCTTCCACCCATATAGGGTGTCTGACAGTTCTTCTCCGCCGTACTTCAGCATCTGAGCCATTTTTTCATCTTCCACTGGTGCTTTATTATTCTTCATGCACGTTATGTTTCCTTGACTTCAAAGAAAATAGGTGGGGGTCCAGCTTCGGATTCTCTCTCAATGGTATCTTCATCTGCGTCCTCTTCTCCTGTTTCATCCATCTCGGCGGTGTCATTCAACAGTTCTTCAAAGTACTCTGCCTATCGCTCTAGTATCTTTCATCACTGTTCAAGTTTCATTCTTTGTCCACACAAATGGCTGGTCTTGGTTGGAAACCATTTTTATTTTCCTTTATCTTCTGGTACACTTGTCTTGTCTCTTTGTTATGGTATAACTCCTCAATTTCCTGTAACTTTCGATTTTGTCTGCATAACCTCTTGGCTAATGTGCATTTTCTGGAGAACTCAGCCGTGCTTGTTCTCATAGGTCTTTGTAGCATTTTCTTTCTTGTTTTTTTTTATTGCGATTGCCACCCTACACTCGTCATCAAACCAGGTGTCTCTCCTATTGAATACTTGAAGCCCTATTACCTCCTCAGATGCGCACAGGACCGTTCTCTTAATTACACCCCATTCCTCTTTGATACTAGAGTTTTGTATCTTTTGTCATTCTTCATTAAGATGGTCTTTCACCCTTTTCTTATATTCTTCAGCTCTTGTCAGATCTCTTGCCAGTATTTGCCCATTGTACTTTTGGTTCTTGTTTCCTCTTTTCGTCTTTAAGATGGACATTCGTTGTAGGTATTTGACCTTAACCAAAAAGTGGTCCGAATAGATGTCGGTCCCACAATAGCTTCGGATGTCCAGTGTGTCAGATCCATGCCTTGTGTCGATCAGCACATGGTCAATCTGGTTCTGTGTAGCTCCATCAGGTGACCTCCACATCACCTTGTGGATGCACTTATGTAGGAACTATGTGCTACTTATGGTCATTCCTTTGCTCATTGCAAAACTGATGAGCCCAAATCCATTATCATTGGTCTCTTCATGCAAGCTCTCTTTCCCTATGGTGGGTCCATACACTGACTTTGGAGTTCATATTTCCAAGGATGGTCTTAACATCATGATGTGGAGCATGGAGCTTCATCATATGCTGCCTTGGGGTCATTATTGAAGCTCTCTTTTTCTTCATCTTCTGCTTCTTCTGTAGGGGCATGCACGCATACTGTATCAATGTTACATTAAACATCCTGGTCTTGAGACGTAAAGTGGAGAGGCGTTCATTGCTGGCTCTATAGGCGATAACTGTACTCTTTGCAGACAGCAAAGCTAGTACCAAGCATATGGGTCTTACTACTGCTATAGGAAAGTGTAAAGTCTTTGCATTGTACTATATCGGTACCTCTCCATCTAATCTCCTGTAGTGCCGTTATTCCTACGTTGTACTTGTCTAGCTCATTTACTAAGCTCCTAAGAGCCCCCGCTCTATATAGACTGAGAACATTCCAGGTCCCTATCCAAAGATCATATCCTTTTCCTTGCTTTGGTTGATTCCTAGTATCCGGTCAGTTTCGGAGGCTTGGTTTTGGTTTTGTGACTGTTACTTTTTACAGTATGGGGTAGTTAGCCCCATGCCCAAGTGCGATGGATTGGCTGCCTCCTTAAAGTGTGTGCACAAGCTTGTTTTCTGTTGTCTCCCTTAGCCTTTGAGGATCTCTTCTCTATCCACAAGACAGTGGATCAGAAATAAACTAATGGTTATGATTAAACTCAGTATGGGTACATTATTAGATTAGATTATTATTAAAATATTTGATACTTGTAATAGTTTACAAGTTGAAAGAAAAGCTACTTTATATTGCATTTATCTTGCTCTTATTTATGTATGATTTTATGTATGATTTGATTATACAATTGGTGTAATGTCATTGTAATCTAATCATATTAAAAAGGGAGCTCTGCTTTATGGCAAATTGTATTTTTTCTTCAAACTTTATCAACTAAAAAAAAATCTTAAGTTATATTTACAATTGTTTAAGCAAAAATGTGTTTTGTAAAATAATTTCATCAAAATGTATTCACCAGTCTGAGCTACAAGGGACAAACGTTAATACAAAGATGACACTAATGACTTTAAAATCAAAGCACAGTTGCAATCAGATATAAGCCATTGTTCACTCATTAAATATTTTTCATCACTCAAATATTGTGTTTTAAAATGTAAAAGTTATAAGGATGATTTCATAAGACCCGATTTACACTGTAAAGATAAGGCTTTGAGGAAGTAGGGCTGAGCCAAACCTCACCTTTCATCCACATGATATGTGGACTGGGACTCCCAGCTGGGAGACAGCAGAGTGTGATGGGATCTCCCTCCAGAAGCACATGGTCCCGCAGTTTGATGTGAAACACAGGGGGGAAATCTGAGGAGGGCAGAGGAACAGCAAGAGTTGTGGAAGTGCAGAAAGAAAGGGAACATACAACCGTGGGGAAATATCCATATGAATATGACACAGTGAAAACTACACAATGCAATATTTTCCCAGTTGAGTTCAAGGATTTACAATGTCGTTGTAAAGTTTTGGTATTCATACCCTATGTAAATGAGATGTTAGTTAAATAGAACTGAGAAAAATAGTTTTCATTAGAAATATAGAACATGATGTTCACCAATGCATTTTTTAAATATAAAAACCCCAAAAGGCTCTTAGAAATCAGAAACTATGGCAATGAAATTATGTTTCAGTAAAATGCTAAAAGAATCTTCAACATGAATTGGCAATTTAAATTTAAAATTTTCAACTTAATATTCATGTAATTGTAACTAATTATGAAACGGTATTATTCACTTCATGAAATAATTACCAAAAGGAGAATATATGTCTATATACTTTATAGTGAAAACAAAATTATTAGGTTCTACAGGCAGATAAATATATCTTTCAACATTAAGAGACAATGAGGATTCAGTTAAGTATTAATTAAAAAATATATAAAGTAATACAAGACTAAGGAAAATAATCTTAAAGGCTTAATGTCAGAAGTAGAATTCTTCAAAAAGACAAGAACATTCTTTGGTCAGATTAAAAAGAAAAATCTCTTCCACAAAGTATCAAAATTAGGAGAAAACTGTGGTGTCCATATTCTTTTATTGAAAAAAGTCTTATCCTTAATTTAAAGCATGAAGGGTGGGTTCATTATAATTTGATCTGGACTTTTGGACTGCTAATGGCACAAGATCAAAACAATAACATTTCTGCTAACAGGAAGATTAGAAAGAATTTTACACTTTTTAAGTTCTTTTCTTTTGGGTTTTAATTTAAATATGCTAGTTATATTTATTATTGTAACACAAAAAGTAAGATAAACTTTACTTATAACAGTTATACACATTATGTAACTGTCATAATGATCTTCTGTTGTCTTTTCATGCCTGCTTGGCTGTTGTGTTATGTAGAACCAACCTTCAATAAGCATTCATGATCCCATTAAATTATGTCTCATTAACTTAAAAGATTCCAAAGCAAACTAACTGAGAATACTATATAATATGGCTGTAATTTCAGAATTTTTTTCATTACAAAAAAAGTTACAAGTTAGTGTAAATAAAAGTTCCAATAAAGATCTATGCACAAAAGTCATGAAAATAAATAACTTTCAGGAGAATCAGTCAATTTTAACTATACCAGAGGCAAGGCGTGAATACTGCCGTAGATGAAGAGAACCATTCTCTCTGGCAATGGCTGAAGGGATGTCAGGCTGAGAAGCCACTTTGTCTCTCCTGCCTCTCGACAAGCCCCACCTGTCCCAGGGTGACTTGCGATCACTCTCAGAACCTTAGGAAGATAGTGCATTTCAACAACTGACTCAAAATATCAAATGGAATAATAAACTATGAAGTAAACAAAAGGTAAACACATATAATCCTTTTATGTTTGTATAAGGAGAGAAAGGTTTATGATAAACACAATTTTTATCTGCAATTGAACATTTGTAAGTAGTATAATCATTTTTATTTATAAGATACCTTAGTATCTTCTAAGTGCAAAGTAAAAGGCATGGGCTTGTTGAAAAGTGTTCATAGATTAAACTATTATTATATTGGTGATATACAGTATAGATAAAACTAAAGGAGTGCCTTACTTTTGATGGCTGCTTCTGACTGGATGCTTGCATTAGATTCCAATGACTCAGTGGAAGGAGCAGACGGAGACTGAGTTGCCAACTGGTTCTGTGGAACCCCCAGCCTCCTCAGGTTAGTCCCTTCTGAGCTTGATCTACGCAACAGAGAGAGCAAGGGTGTCCTCTTCTCCTGTTTGGCTTCCTTCCCCTCTTGCTTCTTCTCATCCTTTCTTTCCTCAGATTGACTGCGGATTCTCATTGATATACCAGCAACTGTGGACTCAATCTTCCTACGCATGGTCAGGACAGGTGACTCATTAGGCTTCTTTTGCTCTTTTATTTCTTGTTCCCGGGGAGCCTCATTGTCTGCTCCTGCATCCAATCTCACCATCTCGACCTCCTTTTTCTCCCTAGAGCTGCTGCGTGTCAGAGTCCAAGAGAGCCTTCTTCTTGGAGCTGAAGGCTCAGGTGCAGGACTTTCTTCTTTTGGTTTAATTTCCTTTCTCTCAGTTGATGGAGTCCTCTTCAGGCGTAAAGAGAGTCTCCTCATGAAGCTGCTGTCTTTCTCTGCTTCCCTGAGATCTTGCACAGATCTCGCCCTCTCTTCTAGCTTCTTTGGTTCCTCAGGCTTAATAAATTCCAAGGGTGCGCCGCTGGGTCCTGGCCGATAAACTTCCTCTCCTGATGTAGGAGGCAGGACAAGCGACTTCTCTTCAGACTTTGACCTTGTGAGAAGCCGTAGCCCACGAGTCAGAGATGATTCACGCTTCTTGAATTTTGCCTCAAAGACTTCTTCAGAGGCAATGTCTTCAATGATATGCCTAGGTGATGGTTCTCGTGGTGGAGAAGGCTTTTTCAGAACTTTGGGTGGGCTAGGCTCTTTGCCAGGTTGTTCAGTAGATGCTACTCTAGAAAAGACAGCTGGATGTGCAGCTGATGAAGATTCTGGCTTAGTTTCAAGGGTAACAGTCTCTCGAACGGGAACTACAATAGTCTGTATAGTGTCAGCATAGGCAGAAGGTCGGGGGCTTGGGAGTGCAAAAGAAACATGAGTGGTCGGAGAGGATGATGCCTGAATACCATTTTCTGTTGACTTTGTGGGTATGACTACAGGTGTTACTGTAATGGAACTGGTAATAGTTATCTCTGGTGGTTTCTGTTTCTCTTCTGTTTTTACTTTCTCCTCTTTGGACTTCTTTGTATCTGGCTCAAAAGCAGAAACTTTTTCTTCTTCTGGTTTTTGACTTTTCACTTCAACTTTTATCTCAGGAGGCTTTGTAATAGATTGAACCTTACTCTCCCCCACCTTCTCAGGCTCCTTCATCTCTTCTTCTGACATGCTCATTTCCTTCTCTGGGAAAGTGGCTTCTTTCTTTCTCTCATCAATGTTACCCTCTTCTGACACACTCACTGTTTTTTCCTCATCTGCATTAACTTCCTCAAGTTTGCAAACTTTCTCAGCTGAGTCATTTGTACTGACTATGGACTCAGTTTTAATGTCTAAGGGCCCATCTTCCTTCTTCTCTGTGCACTCCTTCTCACCCCCACCAGACCTCACCTCCTCATGTTTTTCTAAATCTGGGGTTGGTGGTTTTGAGGAGATCTCCTTAGGTGTGGCTGGGCGAGAATCCAACTTTACTTGCTCAGTTAGTGCTGACATAGATATGCACTCCTGTAATCTCCGTCCTTCTATCTGAGCCAAGGGTATCTCTAAAGGAGCTCCAGATCGCCTATGGAGGGGAATGGGTTCACTATCCCCCTGGCTGAAAGATGCACTTTTGCGTAGCACCTTGGCATCTGATGATTCCTCTCTTGGTGTGTCACTCGATGCAGCTCTTGCAAGTGGGGGAACTGGGCCTGCACGGGGAGGGCGAGCGTAGCGCTCTAGAGAAGCAGAGCGCTTTTGGGTATCATCCCCACCAATTCCCAGTGTCTCCAATAAAGGACCCCTTAGGCCACTCATCTTGCTGTCCACAGACCCTCCTCTTAGAAGTCTCTGCCTCATGAGTTCTAATTTCAAAGCATAATCTTCTTGGCTCAATTTACGACGTTCATCCAGAGTCCCTGGACTAGGACTTCTCCTGGGCAACTCCATTGATACAGCCTTTTTGAGCCTTTTCTTGGATTCATTAGCTTGTTCCTCTGAAGAGCCATCTTCTGGTTTAATATGGAGTAGTAATGCACTGTCAGCTGAACTACCTCTCCGCAGTTCTCCTCTTTTGGAGGCTCCTTTTGCTTTGTCTGACTCCACACTTGAACCCTTGCGCAAGGGTCTCTTTGGCTGCTCTGGCCTCTTAGTCACCTCTGAACTTTCCTCATCAGAAGATCTCTGGTCTTCTTCTTGTGTTGTGGTTCTTTTTCTACTCCGGCCTCTTCCTGCAGATTCTCCCCCTTCCTTCCCACTGCCTGCTGATTCACACTCCATAGGAACTGCTTCGTTGGTGTCTAGCCCTACCCCTTCCAAGGTGCCATTTGGCCTGCTCAGCATTTCTTCATCTGTCGGAATCTCATTGAGTGACATCCTGGAGCCTGAGAACTCCAAGGCAAGAGGCATGGGAATGAAAGGAAGCTCATCAATATCATCTGAATCTGAGGATGATGAGGGTGGAGGGGATCCTTCTTTGAGGTGCCTGGGAACAGCGATAGAGATGTGGCTGGAAGAGTCATCTAGTAGCTCCGGAATGGACCGCATCACCATCTTTGATTTATAGTTGATAAGTGATCTCTGCAAAATATATTAGTGACTTTACTTATTTACTTATTGAAATTTAATAAGCATGAAAGACAAGTGGTCATGCAAAAAGAAAATCATTGAATACTCCAAAAGATTAAAACTTTTTCTGCCTCCATAGTACTTGCATCTTTTTGTGAGAACCATTTCTGAAAATCCACACAACCAAAAATAAAAGGTTAAATAAAACAATGCAATACGAATATTTTGTTATTTGCCAACAGAATGTCTTCTTCTTTTCTGAATGTTTTACTGCATATACAGTATAGTGTAGGTCTGAGCTTTTCTCCGACACAAAGTGCAGTTACTGTAACTGTGCTTAAGCTAAAGTAATAAAGTTGAGACAAGCATTTAAAGTAGTATGGATAATCTAAATTGGATGAGAAATAAAACAATTTAAAAAAAAACAACCATAAAGGCTCAGTTTTGCCACCTCACATTTGGCTTCCTTACCTGCCACTTTCTTCGGGACAAGAAGAGCTTTAGTGGTTCTGTGCTAATGCTCTTCCCCTTTGCCAAAATCTAAGAAAGAAGAAAACTCATTATTTGAAAGAATGAGGGCTCTGTAATAAAATTTGATTTCATTTATGATGAAGTGCTACAGCATTATTTCATTATGCCACACATTTGGATTTAAAAATATAAAGGCACAGTAAGAAAGGCTAACAATTTAAGATTTATATGCACAAGATAAATTAGTTTTTACAGGTGAAAATGTGGAAATTTAAGCTACAAAGACAGCAATGGTTATGATGATGGACCATGAGTCTCCCAAGGTGAATTTTAAAAATAGAAATTTAGGTCATAAGATTTTAAAGCAGTACTACAATGCAATTTTTTCTACAGATTTCAGCTTTCAGGCATCATAAAAAAGTACAAGCATGCATGTTCCTCCTCATCAATCGAATGATTTACAAAAGACATAAATATCTTCTGGAGAAAATTTCCTTAAATTACTTTGTTTTATCAGCAATATTTGCACAAAATCAAAAGAGATTTTCTTTTCTTGATATGTTTTTTATACATTGTGCAAGCAATATCTTTTCAATTGAGAAGCTTGGTACATTAAAGTGACATAAATGGTTATTTAGTTTATGTTTGTATACACCAATTTGAATTTAAAAACAATACCACCCTTGGAAAAAACTAAAATAAATATTGTTCACTAAGTGATAAAATCAGAATGAACCACTTTTAAGAGTAACAATTCAAACAATGAAATCTGAAAAAAGGAATGATAAAGCATAAATAGAAATAATATTATTATATTATGAGAGGGGAAAACATTGTCCCACATACAGAATGTGTTTCTGACCTACCTTAAACCAGGGGTGACGGAGACATTCATTTGTATCTGGTCTCCTGAAGAGAAAATAAGATTGTTAAAGTAAAAGGCTAAAAAATAATACAGACAAATATATAATTAAAAATAAATAATGTAAATACTAGGCCTAGAATTACAGTACAAAAAACTAAACAATGAAAATGATAAAGCACAAAAAAGTGGTATATTTCCATTTGTTTTGTATAGAAATTAAGTCAACATAAAGTTTGACTCCTTCTCAGAGATTATTTCAGATTAATAAAGGGCTTGAGTGATCCTGGCTGTATACGAAAAACTGTGCATGTTTTACTTACAGTCTATCTGCCACTAGCAGCTTAATGACAAATCCCTTGGCTTCACGGCAGAGGTCAGCAAACATGCTCTCTTCAAAAGCCACATTGTAATTCCTGATGTTCAGCACAGTTGCCCGGTCATTCTCCCCGACAAATGGAGATACTCCGGTGAGGCTGGAAAGGACACAACCAAATTACCCATACACAGGGCACAAATATCTCTACTAAATGCTAATCAGGGCATTATTGTCTCCCTTTTTGTTTCCTTATTGTGTGTTTTCTTATAATGCTCATTAACAATATTATATTATATTGTGACAATATTTGTTTTCTTATTGTCTTTTTGCTTAACTATCCTTTGGGAAATCAACAGTTTTTGAAGATCTTTTAATCCAGTAAACATGTTTTAAAGTGTTAAAAATTGTTATGAAACGATCTGAAAATTAGCTTTTTGAAAGTGACAGTTTTCACACTAAATGCTGATAAACAGTTGCATTTTAACACACTAATTAATGGGGAAGAGTTTGATATTTGAACTGAGTGTTTAAAAGCCTTTTTGCCTGTCTGAGGAAATGACAGCACTGGTCATAAGGTCAAGGCTGACAAACTCCCACTCACTTGTGCGGAATGAACCTGGGAGGCTGCTGCAAGGGTGGAGAGAGGGGTGTGAGAAACGATGTGCATAAAGGGTGCACAGGAGTTGGATATTTATGCAAGAAAGAACTAGACTGCAATATGACCTACCCAAACATACTGTATCCTTAGCACAATCTTTATTGTTGCATTAAGGAATGTACACATGACAAAAAATAATACAATTATCAGGAACAAGTAATAGGTTTATTCCATGCTGAAAAAAAGAAGAAAGAGAACACAACGTTTCGGCCGTGGAGCCTTCTTCAGGTGTGAGCCTTCTTCAGACGCTCACACCTGAAGAAGGCTCCACGGCCGAAACGTTGTGTTCTCTTTCTTCTTTTTTTCAGCATGGAATAAACCTATTACTTGTTCCTTTGCAGCCTACGCATGCTGACGCAGCTACCCACCTGAACATAAAATTATCAGTATTGGTTGAAACAAACACATATCTGTCCAAAATAATTGGATATGTTTATAATATTAAAATGTATTTACACCATATAAATATGATCTAATGTTTTGTAATTATCTGGTAGTTTCACAAAGTCTCCTAGATTTTCTAGAAGTTACTGGAAATCACATTGACTGCCACTGAGTATTAATTGGTATGCAGTTAATAAAGCCAGCTGTTCATTTTTAAAGTGATATTTCATGTATACTTTATATAAAAGTTTAAAACAAAGATTATAGCTTGAATATGCAGTATACTTACCATAGATATGTTATAACCCCAACAGGCCTAAAAAGAAAGAATGCAGAAGTAAATAGAAAGCAAATAGAAGCAGAAAGTTATAACTTTAAAATTTAGCTTTAAGTATTTGGAGTTATCTGTTTTTTAACAGTGAAAGCACTTTATCAAATATGAACTGGATAAGTTAGCATCAATGATTTATTCAGCATGTAAGATGTACAAGTTTTAGCTATTAAAACAATAAAGAAAATATAATAATTTTATACTAACCATATGCAATTTAATAAATGTGTTTTAGTATGTGATTTCAATTACTATTTTGTATCCACAAAACAGTATTTTGATTTAATTGACCTTTTATTTGAAAAATTACCCACTCAAGTAATAATGTGACTATGTAAATCACAGAACTAATGTCTTTTATTTTCAGATAGATTTTTTTAAAAACAAAATCAACAATAATGTCTACAAACCAGATATCTGTTGCCTTGGAAACAGGAGTTTGGTTAACAATTTCTGGTGCAACAAATTCCGGAGTGCCATATTTGCAGTACTGGGCCTCATCTGGCACAAGCTCCATTGCATTCCCAAAATCACAAATCCTGATCTGCTCACTGCTGGAATCAGCCATCAAGATATTCCCAGGCTGTAAACAAATTCCACAATCACTTATTTCAGTTTATGTAGTAATAACATTTTCTGCCTTTGTAGTTAAAGAACAGAGATATTTATATAGTATATATATTCATTTTCTATAGAGAAAATGTAACAAGAGTGACATATGTTTAATAGCACAAATGCAGATACAATTTTAATGTTACTTTAGAATTTGATTTTATTAAAGTAAAAAAAAAACATTATATAAAAAAACATGATTTAAGTATATACAGTAATACACCTACAGTATGTTTATTTAAAGAAATGCGATGATTAGTTTAAAAAAAATAGAGTGCCGGGAGTGAGGTTGTTTTGGGCTACAGGTGAATCTGTATTCTATGAAACACAATGAAGGTACATGCTGTTTTGTAGTGAACCTACCTTAATATCCAGATGCAAAATGTTGTTCTGGTGAAGATAGCCAATTCCCTCCAACAGCTGTCTCATATATGAACGGATCTATAAAATCACAATAGATGATACATTCATATTTATTTTCAAATTTAACTAAACCTATCTGTAATAATGAATATCTCTTCCCCACTGATAGCTCATGTGAGGTTAGAGCGCTATATACAGTGTATATATTATTATACTGTAATTGTTTTTTTCTCAAAAAAACATAAACAATATATACACTTTATTTTTAGATATGTGCACTTTATTTTTAGATAAATGTAATTAATTATTATTAAATAGTGTTATTATTTAATTCTACAAACATTTTCTTTAATTAAATTGTATTATTTGTGATGCATTTTTAATGATGCCTAAACACCACATACTAGCATGTAACAGTAAATTATGAGCGTGAATTAATTTCATTTAATGGGTACCAAATACATAACCTGCAGTTTCATAGATGTTCTGAAGCAGTGCATACTATTACCTTTGCATAAGCAGCAGGAATGTACAAATTCCAGGCAATTGTAGTTCAACATTGCCAACTGGTATTTAGTTCAATGTTTCAATATAGTTTAATAATAAGAAAAGTATAAATAAGATACAAATCAATAATCATAGAATCAATCACAACTCAATGCAATGAGTTAGTGAATCTACAGACCTTCTCAAATTAAATATTACTACAAGTTGGAAAGAAAGCAAGACTAATTTGTCAGCTCCAACTGTTGAATTCCTCTAAAGATAATCCCACACACTTACCTCAGACTCCAGCACAAATGACTTTTTTGTAACTCTTTCTAGGAGCTCCTCCTGGCACCTTTACATCTTAGTTAAGGAAAAAAAAATACTTCCAAAATGGAAAAACAGAGATGTCCCAGAAAATTCATGTAACTGACATATAATGTAAGCATATATATGCAGAAAAATGCCATAACGTACAGTAGTGTACAACTGAGAGCACTCACTGAAATGAACCTGCTGTTTTTTATTTTCAATGAACTAATAAAGAATACAGTATGTATGGGTTAACCTTGAGAGGAATAAAGAAGCAGGTAATGATCTAGTGAGAGAAGGCTCCTGGAAAAAATCTGAAAGTCAAGGTAGAGGAGCAAAGCAAAACAGTTTGAATTGACTCCAATTGTAGGCAGATGGAAACCAGGAATTAAGCACAGTATGTTTAAAGTAGTCCCCTAAAATGTGAAACTGAATTTCAGATTTAATAAATGAATTTCACTAACAAACACTCTCGTCATGGTTTATCTACTGAAATTCTCACTCTTAGTTTGTTTGTTTTCAATCTTTGCTGTGCTGATTGTGTTCAAATGTGTTTTGCACTTTTTTTTTTTTACCACGCGGACCTGTGAAATGAGTGCTTTCTGGTTCTCATTTTGAAAGACAAATCTTTCTATTTCTCTTACTTTTTCAATTAATCAAAACATCCCTCTATCAACAAAAAAGGACACAACTCTGTAATGATGATGACTCCGGTGGTCTTTTCGAAAGCATCGTGGAAGTAGAGGACCCTCTCATGATCCAGCTGTGACAGAATATTCATCTCCCTCAGGGCAGAAACCTTTCTTTTCGCTCGTGTGGAAATGAACTTCGCCGCATAATCTACCTTTCCATCTTTTTCTGTTACCCGCTTCACATAGGAGAAGGCCCCTCTGAAACCAGAAACAGAGAACAATATCATGTTAGTTATTAGGCTATTTTTATAAAATCTCTCAATAGACATTGGGCAAGTAATAAATACAAAAATAATTAGGTGACCAGGACAAAAACAGAGCAAGAACCAACTAATGTAGGAAGTCACCCCATTCCAGTGATATTCTATTTTATTGAATTACAAAGGATTTATATCATTTTTAAATCAATATTTTTTAATGAAATCCTGAAATCCTTTTAACCCATCAACCAATTTTTTTGCAAATCTTTGCAGACCTTTGACCTCAAGCTCTGTCAAGGTTTTTTTTTGTTAAGCCAGTACAATGTAGCTTTGGCTTTGTTCTTTGGGTCATTGTCCTGCGGAAAGGTCAATTTTCATATCTGTTTTAGGTCTTTAGCTGACTGAAGCAGGTTTTCCTGTATAAGTACAAAGTACAGATGTCCCTGTACTTTGCTCATCCATTTTCCCCTGAAGCTTCACAGCTTCCCAGTTCCCAGTGATGAGAAAGAGCCCGATAACACAAAGCAACCACCGCCATGGTTGACAGCAGGAATGGTGTTTGTTGAGTGTGTTGCACTGTGTTGACCTTGTGCCTAATGTAACACTTTTAGGACAAAATGTTTTTAGGACAAATCAGGACAATTTTGCTGCACAATTAAATGTTTGGACAATGATCCAATGCACAAAGCCAAAGCTACACTGGAGTCTTGACTTGAATTCTATAAAGAATCGATGGAAGAAAACTTGAAAACTGCTGTACAAGTGATCCACCAACAATTTGCACCAGCAAATCTACCACGAAGAATGGACAAAAAGGCTTGTGTGCAAAGTTTGTAGAGATTTATCCAAAAAGACTTGCAGCTGTAATCGCTCTCAATGGTGCTTCCATCAAATATTGAGTATACAGTATATGTCTGAATATTTATGCAATCAGCATAACTGATTTCTCTTTGGTTTTCCCTGACATTTACTAACCTATTTGATTCTAAGAAAGCTGAAATTTGAGCTTTCAGGTTTTGAATTAAACATAACTGTAATTTCACAAAATGGGACACTATAGGAAGGGTCTGGATACTTTTACAAGGCAGTTAATAATAATCATATTGTGTTTCTTTTGTCTTTATATCTTTCTCCACATATAATTTCTGAGATACTATATAACCCACTAAACGTCTCATATGATGCTTTTGTAATGCTAGATACTTGATTGAACAAGGAGATTCAACATTAACTGGCGAAACACTGAACACAAATTGTTTACTCTACTTTATCTGTTAAACTAACATGATCTTATTTGTGTGTAAATTGTCTAAGATTAGCACAAATACCTTCCAACACATTGTAGTACAGACAAATTAAAATGGCTGCTAGTGGCAGATTGGATTAGAAATTATCAGGTTGAATGTTCTGACACACTCTTAGACTGCAACATTTCCTTAGTATTTTACTTTATTAATTTTTACAGATTTCAGAGCAGGGTTTTTTTTCATTTTTTGTTTTCTACATGCTTGTGTATTCTCAAGGTATTTTTCAAGTTAGTTGTTGTTATGCTCTTGAAATGTTTCATAAAAGAATGAGAAGAATTGGCTAAGAATCATTCCTTAGATGTTTCAAACAGTTGCTTGGAAGATCATTAAAAATAAATTGCCCTTGTTGATCTCCGCCTTCATTCAATGATGACTCACCTTCCAATCTCTTTGTGCACGTCATAATAATCAGTCAGTCTGCGCATCTTCCTCAGAATAGTCTCCTCGTCCTCCATCTCCTCCTCCTTTTCCATTTTAGCTGCGTGGTCACAAATTGAAAAGTTAGAAATTGCTTTTAGGGGGGGGTTAAATAAGGCAGTTTTTCACCAGCTTCACTGAAAATATATTTTTTAACTTAGCTGCAACAAAAGGTAACTGTCTTTCCAAATTCTTAAAATGCTAAGGCACATTAGCTTGTGCCTTAGTATGATTAATTATAGTCAAGCCTTTCTTAAAGTGCAATTCAGAAGATCTACTGTACAATTAAGTTTCTGGGTGTTACTGTTTTCATCTACAAAGAAGAAAGAACATTTATTCCATATTTCTGTTTATGTTCAAGGCATTTTTAAGAATAGATTTAAGATAAAGGCCTAGATAAAACCATTTTCTCATTTTTAAATAAACATAATTTAAATATATTCTGTGTATTACAGAAAAAAGTTAATTACTACACTCTATAAACTACAGTATATACACAATGTCAATGTGTCCTATTTTCCAGAACCAGGCTCTTAAAGGTTAATCATCCATCTCAGCAGTTCTCAGTCCTGGTCTTGGAGTATATCTATGTCTGATTTCTGTTCTAACTGGAGCTTTATTCACCAGTGTTAATTGCTGCCAGTAATTGATCAGCTACTGTACTTGATTTTTTGCACTCGGATTTTGGTTTCATAAATACTCCAGTACAGGTCCTGGATAATCTCTGGGTTTGAATACCAAATGGTTAGTGAAAATTACCAGATGCTATAAAGCCATATCTGATAGAGGAAGGACTACTTTGCTCCTTCAAAGCTTGCTTATTACCTTTAGTAAGATTGAAAAAAATCTTTAACACTGAAAATAGACAACAAAAGAATGTGAATTCAGAATAGAAGCAAGTTTGGTCCAGAATGTATACATTGTATTAGTTACTGTGAAGATTGCTGTAATGTTTAAATATTAATATATTAATATGTATATACTGTATACTGTATATTGCAATTCAATGAGGGGAAAAATTATATCTGAAATGTGCTCAAAATAACAGAGGTACAAAAAAGACTAAAAAATACAAGTAGAGAAAGAAAACTTATAAATAACTTTTACAGTACATCTCATACATAAAATACAATGTGAAATAGGTGGGTGCTCTTCTGGAACCACTCTGTTCTAGATTTGATACTCCTTTAGCCTTTTTGCCTTCTTCCTGAAGTTTAGAACTTCTTCCATGGAAGGAGTTCAAACATGAACAGGAAAAGCTGGGTCAGAATGGTCACTGATAATCTTTAGAGTTTTTCAATTTTAAATGTGTTGTGTATTTGGAAGCAACAGATGGTACAGTAAGTCTCAGCTTATTGTTTTAGAAGCTCTATCTAGCTGTTTCCTCTCCTCAGTGACTAAGTACCCAAACCAGACTATCACAGAAAAAGGTAACACACTCTCAATTGTTGTCGTATAAATACAGACCATGACTTCCTGAGATGCTCATTGTCGTAATTCATTAGTGTCACTTCTGAAATCAAAGATGAACTTTTTGATTTTATCAACATTGAGCTGAAGATTGTTTTGACTGCACTAGCTCAGTGACCTCCTTCCTGTACAGTGATTCTTCATTCTTTTTGTTATAAGCCTTTCCAGAGTAGCATAATCTGCAAACTTGATTAATTTCTCAGGTTTGGTAGTAGATACACAGTCATTAGTATACAAGAAGTACAGATGTGGTGACAGCAGGGGGACACCTGTTTTTTTAAACCAGTGGCAGTGAGTACTTCTGGTGTGCTTTGCCTCCTGCCTGATAAAAAAAAAAATTGGATCCAGAAACACATTGATTTATATACACCCATGTCAATTAGCTTATGAAAGAGGCTCTCCAGTATTATTGTATTAAAGGTCGAGATGTAGTCTACACACAAGTCCCATGTGTATGTGCTAGGGTCATCAAGGTGCCGTAAATGGAAGGGAGGCACAGACCTGTTAGCTCTGTAAACAAATTGTTGCATGTCTAGCTGAGTGTTGGACAGATATTTACATACTAGCTGTTCGAATACTTTTATACTGGCTGATTTGAGAGCCACCAGCCAGTAATCTTTTAAACATGTGACATTCAAATTCTTTGGCACCAGATTCATAACATCAGACTTAAAACATGGGGAACCCCTAGACACTTGCAGTTGCACATCTAATACCTCAATGTGTATCTCACCTCAGGTAGTGAGAATGGATGGCAGCTGATTGTAAATTATGATCTGGGCCCCCAGCTCTCCAGCTATTTTGTTTGCTAAGCAGATATCTAACCTCATGTTCACCAATAATAAAGGAAGGAGAAGAGAGTTCTAGAGGTGAGTTAACTAATTTTTGAAGGCAGTGCTGTACCTCAAATCTACCATAGAATTAATTTAATTTGTTTGGGAGCTCCTGATCATCACTATTCTCCTTAAAGGGTGAGAACACAGATTAAAATTAAAAGATTTTTTAAGTATCTTCAGATGCTATAAAGTGTAAGGTACTGTATAGTCAGACTTTCTCTATAAAACACACCCAAATAGCCAGGTAAATAAAATATAACTTTAGTGTGCTGATTAGTAGACATCTTGTGCCACACTGTTCTTGCAGTACATGGTGCAAAGTAAAAAAATAAAACATAGAGCTAGCCTCAGGTCCATCTAGACAATAGAACAGAACGGCTATCTTATTTTCACTCAGAAAGGCGATGCTGACTTGAAGTATTGAGACTTTAGCCAGTGCCATGACTCGAATTAAAAACTCTCAGTACTGCACCAGAGTTCAAGATTAGGTTTCACATCTTAGACAACACTGCACGTTTTATTCTTGGCTAATTAGCATGGTAGGGAAAGCAACACTGAGTAAGCCCTGATAGATTCAGCAACTGACTCACTGATATAATTTACAGAAAAGGTGAGTCAATGTGGGCTACCACCTAGAGAGCTCAGAAACCACTATATAAACTGGGGAATTGGCAATTCTTATTAACATTTTACAGAGTAGATATATAAATAGATTGAGCAGAACTAAACATTGCATAACAGCATCTTAAAACTTACAGTATAGTCCCATTTTAAATGGAATCTACAGGATATGAAAGTGGGAAAGGAGAAATCTAACTTTTCTGTAAGAAAAATGAATGGGGACTTTTAGAAAAAAGTATGCATATAAGCTAACACACATAATCATGCAAAAATATATAATATTATCACAGAATAACACACACAAATGGTTCAGATGCTAGTGGTAGGGTGACTTAAGATAGAACCTGCATAATAATGCTGGAATCGTTACATGTGGTTGAGTAGCTATTCGAGGTTATAGATAGGAGTTAAAAGAGATAGAGGTTTTTTTTGTTTTCTGTAGTCTGTTTGGAATTATTTGTTTTAATCTCAATAGAGCTAGGGACCTATGTTAGTTTTACACCTGAGATAGAGCTTTATGTTTTATGATCTCGAACAGCCATCCTGAACTGGGGACCTTCCACAATACATGCATGCCATCTTTTCTATCAGTAATTAATAAAAAAACAAAAATGTATGCAACATCCTTCTTTCTCATTAGAAAATATATTTCAAGATCAGGCTTTTGGTCAATAATGTGAATGCCCAATTTAAACATTCAGTCGACACACACTGTTTCCTGCAGCTAGGCCCCTTACCTGCGTGAACAGTGAGCTCTGCCTTGCAAGACACAGAGCCTGCCAGGTTCTTGGCAGTGCAGGTATACACAGCTGAGTCCTCCTCTCTCGTGCTGAGGATGACCAGGGAACACTCATTGTCATCATACACAAAGGTGAAGTGACTGCTCTCTGCCAGGAGGATGTCATTCTGAAACAAAAATATCATACTAAGTTATCTGTCACCATCCACTGTTTCCAGACCCTGTTTTACTAATTAGGTAGTTAATTAATAATCTTGCAGGAGAAAATGGTGTTTTGTTAATGCAACTACTTGTGTCAATGATGATCATTAGATTTGGTATTTTATGGAGGACAGTCACACGTGAAGGCCATATTGTTGATGCCATTAAAAATCACTTTCAAGAAAGGTGGTAATCTAATATTATTTTATTATGTGAACAGTATCTTTATAAGTCATTGTGTTTCATCATTGTTTCTAATGATTTTTTTTATTTGGTACTTTGGAGAAATGACTACTATATAAAATGGAGTCAATCAATATGTCTAAAGAAGACATAAATCTTCTTACCTAAAAAATACTTCAAAGGACTAATGTGCTTTCCTTTTAGCGATGTAATCAATATGCAAACAACCAAGGTCTGTAAACCAAATGTCAGCATTTTCCAGACAAAAGGAGACTGAAAGCAATTTAATTAAAATCTGTCTTGAATTTATATGAAATTGTACTTTCCTTTTTAAGTCTGGATGGCTAGGATAAGCAAAAGTAATAACAAAATGTAGTGGAAAAAAGAATGTGTTATATTTTGTTGGTGTTTAAAATTATATTGATTTAATTATATAAGCTTTGCCAGCAATACTAAATTGAATAAGATAAAAGAGGGTCAAACATGACCAAGGAAACTAAGGTAAACCATTTTATTTTCTTAAAGAAATAGTCAGCTGTCCACTGGAAGTTAGAACAGCTTGTATTGCCTATGATTCTGTTGGGTGTATAATGAGTTCATCTTTTTCTGTATACAGTAAAATGGCAATACTTCAATTACTGCAGACTGAAACAGCTCGTGGCTGGACAGCAGAGCAAAACAGAATTCTAATGAAAGTCGCTAGAGTGACGCACAACCCATAACCAGTGCTCTCACTCAAGAGTAAACAGAATAAAATTAATACAAGATCAGCAGAATTGCTGGGACATTTTCTGGAATAAACCCAAAGCTTGTTGGGAAGTTGTAAAAGCCTTGGAGCTGGGAGGCCGAGGTGTAAGGAGGTGGTTTTGGAGAAGGGAACTGAGGGAAGGGCACATGTACTGTACAGAATGTACTGTGCAATCCCTGTAAAAAATGGTGCAATCCCTAAAGAAAATTAGTGGTCGGGCTGTGCTGAAAAGATATATGGCTTCAATCTGCAACTAACACAGATAAAAGGGAGTGCAGAAAGAGAGCCTTGAAAAGTGTGGGAGTTCTCTGAATGTGAATGAAGGAACCCTTACTGCAAGCATCAACCAAGATTGTGTTTTCTTCTCTCTAATCACCGTGTTGCATGACAATTTCAGAGACACATTATCTGGCAGGTGTTTCTGAATGGTGGGGGTTAAATCTGGATTGTTTTGTCTGTGTCTGATTTATTTTGGCAAGGACCGTATTCCAAGATAAGAATTGAGACTTTTTGAGGTGTATAAAAATATACTGACCTTGTACTTTATCAATTCGACCACTTGTTCACTTACTGGTCAGAAATCGCAAGCTCTGTTCTTGTTGGCAGCTATTTACTTTCCCACAAAAGTTGTGTTCCCAATAGAGTTTCACTAATGCAAGCTTTTGTTGGTGTAGTTTGAGGGAAAAAAAGCTGGACATTATTGCCTTGTACTTTTGTGTTAAGTATGTGAGCATGGAGTAAAGATAAAGTTCTATTTTGTCTTTATGTTGTTAACAACATTTTTAGGAGCTGGATATGGATTTTATTTTCTCTTTTGATTGACTGGTTTTCAAAGATGCAACAGGAGGTACAGTATAATCCTACATGTCTGCAACTCTTTGCAAGGAGTTATTACTATACTCATTTTTTTCTAGTCTGCGTACTGTGAATACTTTGGAAATTCAAAAGCCTTATACTGTATACATTGAAAACATTCATGCAAATTACAAATTTAACACGCTTTCAAGACCTAAATCTAAATACCCATGAAATTCAGATGTATTTCATTGACTTGCTCTGCAAAAACTAGAAACCAAGACAAAAATATAGGTAAATATAGGTAACAAAAATTACCTTATACCACAAGATGTCTGGAATGGGCTTTCCTTCAACTACTACAGCAAATCGCGGTGTCTCTCCTACATTCACATCCACATCCTCCATGATGGATTCAAAGCTTGGGGCCACTGAAATTAAATTGCAAGTTGTATTGTGATCAGTTTGATGTATCAGAAATTAAGACAACATCTTCTAGGAAAGGATGAAGAAAGAATGAGGGGAAGACTAACACATTCTGATTTTATTATATTTTTTTTCTTTTCATTGGGTTGCTCAAAAACGTTTGCTAGTTTTATTCGGGGTTTACACACCTCTTCACTCGTGTTGTTTGTATTATTGAAATGCTAGAACGTTTGACATTGTCTAACAGAGTTTGATTAGAACAAAGTTAAAATTGACCAAATTGATATAATTTGAAAACATATAGAGTGGCATGGTGGCACAGTCAGTATTGTTGCCTTGCTGTGCTGGGGCCTTTGGTTCAGTTCCAGACTAGGGGATGTGTGGAGTTTGAATGTTCTCCCCATGTTCCTGTAGGTTTCCTCTGGGTGCTCTGGTTTACTCCTACAGTCCAAAGACATACTAGTTGGTTAATTGGCTCCTGGGAAAACTGGCCCTGGTGTGAGTGTATGTGTGTGCTTGTGTCTGTGTGTGCCCTGCAATGGACTGGCCTCCAAGGTGTATCCTGCCTTGGGCCCATTGCTTTCTCAGATAGGCTCCAGCTCCCCCCCACAGCCGGAATTAGATAAAGCAGTTAGAAAATGGATGAATGGATTTTAACTGACAGGTTCATTTAATGTAATTTTAATTAATCCATTAATCCCAACTACCAGTATCTCGCATTGCTTAGAAACTATTAACCATACTGAACTGGCATGCATAAATATAATAATACATTTTATGTGTACAGACGTTTTCAATTCTTCTTTGTGTTATTTTTTATTAATACATGTATTCATTGATAATTTAATAATTTTAGGAAAATGCACCAAATCAGAAAATGAATTAACCTTAAATATATAATTCATAATTTATTTATAATTTATTAGAAAAAATGTCCCATATGTCCTCCTCTGCATTTACAGTAATTACATTCCTCAAACATTTGAAAGAGTCCACATGAACAATTTAAAGTGAAGGGTGACACGCAAAATAAAACAAAATAAAAACTTAATGTTCAGTTTATATGGAATATCAAAACTTTCAGATATACAAGCAGCAATACAACTAGAAATCACATGGATTCAGGTCAGAATTATGTGAAAATCAGAGACCATTTTCCTTCTTTTTTTTTTAGCTGGATAAGAAAAAAAGGTTGTGCTCCTAAATCCGTATACAGTATAATACAAAATGTCACTATGTACAAATTGGTAGTTTAGACATATTCTGAAATATTTTGACAATTTACATTTTTATCAGTCCAATACCTCCCAGAATTTGTGTTTGATTTAAAAATGTGGAATAAGATTTAAATATTAGAACTTCCAGCACTGTTTTAATGGACTTAAAAAAAAGATAAAGTATTATTCAGAATGTACATGTACTGTAAGAGTCCTTGAGTGAAGAATACAACTTCACCTTCCAAATAACACATTTTCACAAGGTAATGTTTAATCCACTATACAGAATAGACCCACCCTAATTTTGAAATTGTGTCACGATCGCTAACCCCTCCTCTTAAGGGCTCTCCAGCCCTTCCTTGTTTTCTCCTATTGTCTGCACCTGTTCCCTATTCCTGCTCGTTTCATGAGAGCCCAGGGTCCTGCTGCGTCTGGCTCCATTATGGTTTGTAAACTTCTGTTCCTGATTTCCTGCCCCGTCGGTCCCGACCCGGCTCATGCTTTTAACCCTTGGATGGATCTCCTGGCCTTGGACTCGACTCTTCCGTTTGGATTCCCCGTTTGGACTTTGGCTTTGTTTGTTCGCCCGGACTCACTTTCCCAGGAAACCTGCTCACCTCGGACATGCCCCCCTGTATCCAGACTCTTTCCTGCATGACTTTTTCCCTAGTGTATCTTCACAATTCCGGATTGCGTCGTCTGCATAGGGCCCGGAAAGAACTGTTCGTGACACATTGACATTGTCACTTAAGCTACCCATGTGAAGGACACTACACGATATGACAATATGAGGGCCTCACCAGCCATTTCCAGACTCATTGAGCAGCTGTCACTACCATACTGGTTACTGGCTGTACAGATGAGTTCTCCTACATCGGTGCTCCTCACACGTAGTATCCTCAAAGTGTGCTGGTCGTCATCAGGCATGCTCATTTCAAACAGCCCTGGTTTGTTCACCAGCACACAGCCATTCCTGTAATAATGAGAGACCATCAATAAACAGATGATAATGTATTTATTCTGGCTTATGTACTGAAGAAGTAAAAGGAAAACAAAACGATATTTGACATTCCAGCCATGTATGGAAAATTGATCATAATTGTCCAAATGTTTTGAACACAAAAATTCTACCCACTCGCCAAAACAGAAATTCTTAATCCGTTCAGTTAGGCACAGGAAAACTCTGACAAACAGTAAATGTTCAGGAAGTGAAACATTTTGAATCTGTTATTGGTAGTGGGATGAATCATTGATTCAATTGGACTTTCAGATGATATTATTCCTCATAATATTTCTCTATATATTGGAAAAAATGTGCAGTGTTTGCCAAGAAAACAACAGCAGTATCATCCATACTTTTATTCATGAAGTACTGTACATACTGTACTTGAAGAATCATAATAAAATTATTATTCTGTTATGCTTTCATGGTTGTAGAAAAAAGAAGTAAATAAAGACAAATTTCTACTGGTAGACAAGATAAACTATGAAGAAACTTCACTTGCCTTTTCCAGGTGACACCGGCGTGAACATGGTTGAGGGTGACAGTAATGTAGGCTGATTGATTCTCCACCACATACACCACATCAGGTTTATCAATGATAACTGGAGCTTCCTCAAAATATGGGCCTATAGGTAAGTATAGCAAGACGAACGAGCATAAGTCAAATCAAGATCTGTCACTCAAAGCGTTTCAGCAAACAGCGAGAATAAAACTCAGAAGTGGTATTTTCTTATGGATTTAGTCTTGAAATAATCAATAGATATTACTTTTAATAATTGTGAAATCATGTACAGTCATTAATTCATTGTCTCTGCTATACTGTATGTCTGCCTGTTCTATATTTTAGCCATTATGTAATTTAAGGTTTCAAGGTATACAATTTAGGATTTCAGTTTTCTTTGCTAAAAAAGTATATAACAATTTAAAGCAGAGAGGGGTATCTACTATTCAAGCATCAGTAGGTGCACATTCATTTACTTTACTTTATGCTCTCAAGCATTAAAGTAAGGAAGAATCAATCCTACTTTGACCCCATTAGTATCCTCAAGACAATATATAGCAGGTACAGTAAGGCAGACGTTTGTCTTGGATCTTGTCTCTAAATGCTGTTGTGTGCTTCCCCTACCTCTGTCCACAAGCTGCAAAGCCTCAGTTGGTGGAGAAGGCTTGCTATAGGATTTGCTGGTGGCTGATAGGACCCTGAAGGCATAGAGTACCCCTTTGGAGAGTGAGTGGACCGTGTATGATGTATCTTTTACATTGGAGGCCACAATGGTCCACTGGTTTGTCCCCATTGCTTGTTGTTGAATAGCATATGTCAAAGAGCTGGGATCTGAAACCAAGAAAGGAATTTTATAAATTATACATTTTTTAGGAATTAAATATTGATCTTGGGGTAACAATTGTAAATTTGTTTGTCAAAATTGTCAAAATGCAAATGTTTAATCAGTAGGAGATAAAATGTCAAAGCTTTGTCAATCTTATCCTCAATACAGGATTATTCCGAATCATTTTGTTCTGTTTTTCATATTCCGTATTTTCTGTTATGAAACATACAGTACATTCAATAATTAAATATGTGTGTGATGATTATTGTTTAAAAACTATTGCAAAATCTTGTATTATTGTAATTTTCCTTTAAAATGGGTGCAACACTAGGAAACTATTGCTATGTCAGCAGGTTTGGTTCTCTTATGTCAACTGATAAACTAATTCCACACATTATGGTCTTTTTCTTGTTGGTATTATTAGGGATTTGACTTTTGTATACAGTATCAGTGATTTCCAAACTGTGTCATTTCTGATGAAGTTCCACCTACAAGTAAACCTGCCATAACTCAATGTGCAACACTGGACAATACATTTTTTCTTAACTACAAATGTGAGAAAAAATGTATATTTTTACAAAATTATTAACTTACATTTTACATAAATTATAGGATATTATTGCACTTTAGAATATCTCCATTTTCATTGTGTAGTGATATTTGGCTAGACTAGATATTTGGCAAAAATTCTACAAGTTTAGAAGCTCAGGAACACATTTTCATCTGTTGTATTTATATTTATTCCACTTATTTCCCCTACATCATTAGGCACCTTCAGACTGCTGATTTATCTTATTGTAAAGCATTCTGTGTTCCATTTTCCATATTTTGAACTTTTTTTTACCTAATACATTAAAAATAAAATGAATGAAAATATTAGGATTTTCTGCTGTGATCTGTTTGTGTTAATTGTATTTTTGTAACTTTAGAGTTTTGTTCTGATTTTCCAGTTTTTCCAAATATGAAAAACATAATATCAGCTTTATGATAAATATTAACCTTTAATGTTAAGATGAAGAGAACGTTAGGTGACAGCTCAAAAGAAATGACGGACTAAAAATAGAATTAAAAGATAACTGAAAGGGAATCAAAAGGCCTTCCTCCTAAGAAAAGTTCCAATATATTATTGCATCAGAGACTTTCCCCCAACAAAATAACTGTTAGAATACCGTGCAGGGGAATTAAAGTTCATAGACAGAGGGTTTTATTCTTTAAATGTAGTTACTGTAAGTAGAGATGTTAATGAATGTGTATAGAGCTGTACCTATCGAAGGATCCAGCTTCTTGGGTTTCTTCCACTTCAAGGAGATGGTCTTGCCAGTGATTGCTTCAACAACAGGAGCCCCATCTGGGGGATCAGGAAGGACATCTGCAAACATCCAGAAACAAGTTAGACTACAGTATGTACCAAATCTACACTGCTGAGCTAATGTAGATAATAATTCTTCCTCTCACACAGGCAAGCATACATACACTCCCTGTTTATCCATCACAAAGCTAAAAAGCCCATGAGGATTCATTATTCATTATTCAGTTGTTTAATGACAATCTGGAGGAATTTTGAATGCACACTGAACTGAGGAATAGGGAATTATCAATATCAAAGTAAGGAACATATTGGTTTGGAATGTGCTACGAGAGGATTAAAAGACAAGGTTTATTTTTTTAGATTTCATAAGGACTTTATAAGTCTAATTAAATTCTCATTCATTAATTAAATTCATGAATTCTCACAAACTACAACATGTATACTGAGAGCCATTGAAAGTGCTACTGCTTTTAATATTGATTTGTTGCATTTTTGTTGCTTCACAGAATAGAAAACACATTTATAAAAATATATATTTTTTCTATATCCTTCATATTCTTTAATTTCACATAAACAATTATTTGTTTCAATTAGGATTTAGCTTCAGCAATTCAGAAAATTTCTTCATAGTTTCCCAATAAGTTTTTTTCTATTTGGCCTTTGGGATGTTAGATTTTTATTGTAAAAATGGCAAATTAGCACCACACTGTCTGAAAATAGCATATCTATTTTATATTGCATCATCTGGAAAATGGTCTTTCGAATGGGTTGCTGAATTGAGATTTTAAATACACTGTTTTGCAGGAGAGGTTGTTTTAGTGCTTTTGATATATAGTTATGGTGTTTTGTTTTGATTTTGCTGCTAAAAGTTGTTATTGTGTTTGTTGTTTCTGAAGGGTAGCGTCATTTTTTTCCCTTTTCTCAAAAAAGAGTTTCATCCTTGTGAATAATTTAATGGTTAGGCTCAGTGGACTCTGAAGCTCACTTGCATGTGCAATACTTTATGAAACAATGAAAAATATAATTTTTACGACAGGCATTGTAACGGCATAGTCTTTATGACTCTGTTGCTGATTATTAGGGGGTTAAAAAGCAAAACAATAACTTCTCTTCAACAATTCAGGAGTAAAACATACAGTACATTAGATTGTACTAAATTAAGAAATTTCTAGGCCTCATTACCCTTCTACAGACTCAAAACTGGTAATCGCATCAACATTCTATATCAGAAATGGCTGGAGGCAAGTGAGTTTAATAAACTGAGCAGTCTGGTTTCACTTACCTGTCACATATAAATGGGCATAGCACGTGGCCTTCCCCACCTTGTTTGAAATGACACTTTTATAGACACCGCCATGAGAATGGGTGACTGAGCGGATAACCAAGCTGTGGATGTCTCTGTCTGTATTGAAGAAAGTGTCGTACATGGAGAATATTAGCATCAGGGAGAAGATCGACAACAGGAGTGGCTAAATACTGTACATTATGAAGAACAAGTGCTGTTATATTATTTAAATCCAACTTTTACAGCACAAACATCAAGAACTGTGGTGGAAAAGTACAGTAGTTTTATAATACTTTCAGTGGTTTTAGCCTACTTGTAATTTATACAGTCAATACATCTACAGTAAGTCACAATTCAATGAGCTATAGTATCTGTATAAATGTACAAATCTGTATGAAGGTACATCCATATTCTCCTGACATAAAAAGGCAGCACATTTCCTTAACTTAATGAGTTAACTATATTTACACGTCTGTATTATTAAGGCCAGTAAATGCCATCAACAGAAACTGTTTTTTTGTCTAAGAAAGCCTTGGGTGTGCTTGGCTGGAATGATATGCTTTTGATGACTTATTTCACTTGCTGAGTTTCTTAATCTTAATTTTGTTTCCAAAAACATAAAAGCATGCTGGTTGCTGGGCATGAATGAGTGAATCAAAATGTCAAGAAACATCAAAGGAGCTAATCATTTCTGTTTAATTTGATAAGATTGCAATGCAATAAATTATATATTGATATTTGATGTGTTCTAAAAGATTAAGGAGTACAGAGGTACAGAATATAAATTAGAATCTACAGTTCTAAGTCATTAGACAATGCAGATCAATTCAGAGATAATTAATTTTGGCAAACATTTATGGAACATTGGACATACAGCATTTCTAGTGAACATAGTGTTCAATTAACTATTGAGATCATTGTTTATACAGTACAGTGATTTATAAAACTACTCAACCCTTCCAATAATGTCCTCTTTTTATGAATTGTATAAAAATGTATGTACTGTATGTATACATATGTTTAAAGTGAGTATTTTAATCAAAACGTGAATGCTCAAATTGAACCCTTTTATGAATTAAATATCAGTAAAAACTACAAAGAAAAATCAAAAACTAAAATAGGTTTATTGTATATATTGTATATAAGTATTCACTTCCTCTTCTATGACAAACCTTAATTAGTTTAGGTACACAAGAGGTACACAAAAATACAAAATAAAGGCATAATTTGTTGAATTGCCTCAGTCTGTGTACAACAACAGTTGTTCACAGGCTTTCAGAATAAATACGCTTATCTCTGCAAGGTCCCTGAAGTAGTGAGCTGACCTGTATCGTGTGCAAGCAAAGGCAGGGATCAAGAAATCAGTCAGAATGGAAAGTGCCCTTACACTGTGTCATCTTCCTGTCTTCTGTGCTGTCGATCTTCTCCCCATTGTGGAACCATGTGATGGTGGGGTATGGCAGACCAGCCACTTTGCACTTTAGAACAGCTTCCTTGCCCTCCACCACATCCAGGTCATGCAGAGGTTTAACAAAGTCAGGCATGGTGAACCGCTCCACCTCACTCTCGGGCACCTCTGGTTCTTCAGGAATTGAGGGCATCTTTTCCAGCTTTGCACTGCAGAGTAAGAAGATTACAAAGAAGGTAGAAAAGTTGCCTTAGACCCAGACCAGTTGGGAATAACTACTAATTTGCATTCAATTTTGTAAGGAATGGGATTTTGGCCTTGATTTAATAACATATTCAACCCACCTACAATCTGCAGTGACAAATCATTGAAAATAACTTGATTGCAGCTTTTTCTTTGCCAGACTTTTCTTGCGTCTGTTAAATGGAAACCCATTACCAAGTACAGAACTTGGGCTGTAATTTGTGATTAGCACAAGGAGATTTCTGATTGTTACCATAGAGATATACTGTTTTCCTATTACTTTTTGCAGAATAGCACAATCTAAGGCCCTGATTTAAATAGGCATGCAAGTAGTGAGAGCAGCTCTCTGGTGTTTTTGTCCTTTGGCCACACTAGGTGCTCTTCTCAGAAACGCAAAAGCTTTATGAGGTTTTGTTTTTAATAAATGTCCAAGAAAAGAAAAAATGTACTTGTTTATTATAACTGAGCATATTAAAATGTCCTCCTTCAGTAAAGTTAATACTACACATGTTCACATACTGTACAGTTACAGTTCATTGCATGTTCAGGTTGTGTCTTTGTTAACTTTACCACCCTCAAAATCAACAAGTGCATCATTGCAGCTGGTCAGTCTAAAGATAATTTGTCTTAAATTGTTTCTTCATTTAAATAATCTGATCACTAGGGGTAACCTAGTGATACTGATCAGGGTGAGACTGGATTGATTGAGTTAGGATTAATTGTGCAATTCTGGTTACAGCGGATTTTAATAATGTATTTCTGAAATACTGTAGATCTTTTTGAGTGTTAGCAAATTACTAACACATGCATAATACATAAAACATGTATAAATGACTTATTAGTAAATATTAATTACTACAAGTAATAGGCAACTAGCTAGGCTTTGTACATGAACTATGCAGTATTTTATAAGTACTATTATGTCATTCATTCAGAAGTAACATATGGCTAAGAAGTGATTCTTAAAATAAAGCTGTACCACATTCTTCTTTCTGTTTAGCAGTCCCTTTCCTATAATGGGTTAAGTAGTCTGCTAAATCATTAATTAATTTTAATTTTGAAAATATATAAAATCGTTTACTTTATTTAATCCTTCTGTATTGAGATATATTTTCTAAAATAAAGCTGTACCACGGTCTTCTTTTTTGTTTATCAGTCTCTTTCTTATAAAGAGTGAAGTAGTCTGTTAAATCATCAATTAAATTTAATTATGAAAATACATAAAACCTTGATTACTTTATTAATAACCTGGTTTATTTAATCCTTCGTTTTGCGATATAATTTCTTCTAGGCTCATTTTAAATCACTACACCTAATCAAATGCTTGCACAAATATCCCTGTGTGTGTTTTCTGAGTAAATAAAAATGCACGCTCCATCTAAAAACAGTTGTCAGTCATTGTCTGTCTGCAAAACTATCAAACAAAAAAGCATAAAACAAAGCGAAGAACTTTGAAGAAAAATTAAACCTGGCAAAGACGTGATTTAAACAATCTTAGAGGTGTTGGTTATATGACATGATATGAAAATTCACTTTTAGGAAGAGAAGTTACCACTGCATGTAAGGTTGGATAATTTCAGGTATAAGTCACTTTCAGTGTATTATGCTTAGATTTGTCAAGAGAGTGAGCTGCTTTTCTACTTCAAAGATCACATTGGTGCAATGGTTTGCAGCGCGTAAAACCTCCCATGATTCAAATGTGCATGCAACAGGGGTATAATTTGTTTTCATTTACTAAAAGGTATTGAGCATACATCTGTGAGGCGACTGCTGGGCGAGGCTCCTGCACATATAACTCCGCAGAGCACTCAGCTTCGCCATGTGTGTTCTTGGCAATGACCGTGTAGAAGCCCTCGTTCTCGTTGCTGACATGAGAGATGATTAAGGAGTGAAAACCACGATCCTTCAGGATTCGGATATTCTCACTTTCCTCCAGCGCTTGATCTGGGAAGGAAACAATTTTGCCCAGATTAGAAGCAATAAAACAGATATAAATCAGATATAAAAGTGCTATAAAGCAGATTTAAAGTGAATGCAGAACATTTAAGATTAAGGTATCCAATTTAAGTGCACTGCAAGACTCGTTGGGAACCGATATATACAGTATGTATCAATACTTATGCTTATGTTTACAGAACCTACCGTAGTAGGAAAAGTGAGTTAGTTTTACTAACCTTTCATCATAAGAATAATCAAGATTGTCAGGTATCATGCACCAACTTAATAGCAGACTATCAGTCTGATTTGGAATTCAAAGAGCAATAGTTATTAATATTAATAGTTAATTAATTTACAACCATTAAATGGAAGTTTCTAATGTTAGGATTGATAACAACAGACAAGGCAATCTCATTTAGATGTTTTATATTGCAATCTTTACCAACTTTCATATATACAGTATATACAGCATGTCTTCCACACACCTCTTCTCACTTTTTTTCTCATTCATTATGTGGACTGTGGTTCAAACAACAGATAGGAGAGTGAAAACAAGAAGGAAAGAAATAAAAAGAAAAATATGCTTCGTGTTTCGCAATCACCACACATTTGTTTTGCATCCCTTACATTGATTGTGCTTCACACAATGAGCAGGAAAGGGGATACTACACAAAACGATTGAGTACACAGTTTTTGCTAAAAAATGCTTTCACTTTCCTCTCGCTTTTCTGTTTCATATTTCGCATTCTATATGTGCTTCAAACAGCGGAGCGTACAGAGAAAACCAAATAAAACAACAAAAAAAACATGCTGTTTGTTTTGTGTTTGCCTGAATTTTTTAAGTTTTTACACTTTAATATGTGGTGCCTGTACTCTGGCTGTTCTGTGCTGTCTTCTGCTTCTGTTCTCCGGTGTCCAGTCCAGCTCCTCGACCCTTGATGCTCCTGACACTACAGTATATCCACGGTCGTGGGTCTGTCAGACATCCTGCCTCTGGCTCAGTCAGTGGGCATCCTGCGACTTTCGCCTTTCTGCCTTCTCTTTTAACATTATGTTTGTATTTCTATATTCCTTTCTTTATACATGGGTGGTTTTGGGGTTCACTTTTTTCAGACCAGCCCTTGTAGGGTTTCTTCCTTGCCCCCTGCTCAATCTCCAGCTCAATCTGTAGGTGTCCTACAGCTTTAATTTCTGCCTTCTCTTTTTATCATAATGGCTGTATTTCCATACAGTGTTCCTTCCATCCCTTTTTCTGTATTGGTGGTGTAGGGACAAAGCCTATTATTTAACTTAAGAATTAAGTGTATCAAGCATTTCTCATAATCTTTGTGTCCCATAACTAACAGTCTAGTGTCTCTCCCTAAATCCACAGGAAGTTTGTTAAAGAGGTCCCTCAATAAGCAACCTGAAGGGTGGGTACCAGAACCAAGCCAGATAGCATCTTGTCCAATTACAAACTGGTTATATAAAACTAGTCCTTTTTCTCTCACTCACTTACTTGAAGATCTCTCTCTAAACTGGCCAACTGACTTTTAGGATCACGTGACTACAAGCAGTCCAAGTCATTTTTCTCCAAGAAACCAGGCCAGGTGAATCAGTAAAGTACAGAATTCTGTCCAAGATATTCTTCCTGGAACAGAAGAAGTCTTGTGTTCATGAATCCACTTTTATTTTTGCCCAATCAATGAAATTGGACAGTCGTATCAAGGACGTTTGGCTAACAGGATGTTAAGTATTACTTTTTTAATTTCCACTGTTGCCAGCTACCAATTAATTACGGAATTATTATTATTATTATTGTCTTCATCATCACCATCAATAATAATGATCACATCATACTTGTCAACAATGGAACTTTTACTATCACAAATGCATGTTTGATGTTTAGTTCATGATAGTAAATGCATATTTACTTGTGTCTGAAAATATACAGTAAATATGATTTAGTTATATGAAACTGACAGAACATACAGTATGAGATAGAGCTGGACTGTAACACATTATAGGTGATGCGTATACTGACTCTGAAGTTATTAATTCTGATCTCTGAGTGAATGATCAGCATTGGTGTTCACAAGTGATAGGTTCACAGATACAGGTGAACCTGTACATTCTTTTATGTTGTTGTTATGCATGTTTTGATTCCATCCATGAATTGTATATTGTACTGTATATTTAAAATCCCTGTGTGGAGACTGTAAATTATTATGTTTGGTTGGTTCCTAAAAGTCATTTGTCTGATTGTTACAGTAAATTAAAGCCCCCAACCTCCTATAGTGTTTTTTAGGTTTCATTTATTCTTGGAGGGTTGAACCTTCTCGTTCTATGGCCAGGAGGCTTCCCCTTAACCAAGTGGTTTAAGCCAAAACTTAAATACTCAAATATTTGGAAAGCAGGTGATTCTTAAATGGCGTTATTACTCACAAAATAAATGTAACCATTATTCTGTATTATTTAACATGTTACAATAAACCCATGGGAGTCATAAGAACTGTTAAGAAAATACATAAAGTTTTCAAATTGCACACAAGCATTCTTATAACAGTGATTTTTTTATCTTTTTGGTAAAGCCATTTATCTTTTTCAGCTTATAATTATTATAGTAATACTTTTTTTCATGTGATTATTATCCTATGCACGATTACACCCAAAGCACATTATACAGTATATAGAATCTCAAAGCACCCTTTTTAGATTTCAATACATAGCGTATTACATAGAGAAGTAAACCCACCTCATTTACCACTAAAAACTCATATCAGCACTACACACCAGATCAGGTAAGTGAGCTACTGTATTGTTTTACCTTTTGAATTAAATGGGAACTTTAGGTACTAGATTGTGATCTAGCCAGGACACTGGGGTCAACACCTTTATTCAAATAAATAGAGTCATGGGGCCTTTTACTATCAAGTACTTAAGAGATTAGTTTAACATTTCATGTAAACTAGGGAACCAACTATAGTACATAAATTTAAGTTACAGTGTCCCCAGACATCATTATAGAGCCTTGTTTTGGGGATTCTAGTTGAAAGGGAAGAGCACTACTAATTAAAAATCCTGTCAGTTCAATATAAGTGAGGAATATCAATGAAATGTAATTCCATTTTTCCCAAAATTGTGTATTCTTCCAGTTGTATGTGTAGCTTTGGCTTGTTAGAGACGGAATATGCCACCTGTGTTAGTCTGCAGAACAGTTTAGATATGAATATGTCAAAGTAAAGAAGGACAGAGGAAAAAAAGGATGAAGCCTCACCAAAATGGCTCCAAGTGACTCTGGGAGGGGGAGTTCCGCTGACCTTACAGTCAAATCGAGCTGTGCGTCCCTCAATAACTTCCAGGATGTCTATCTTCATCGTGAAAAGGGGCTCTATTGAGGGAATGACTTTGAGATTTGCACTGGAGGTAAGCTCCTCTGAAACAATAACAGATACAGGAGTCAAAATCCATTTCACCCTTATTGCACACTGAAGCTGATCAGTAGTTCAAACTAATGAAAGTGCTGGTCTAAGCCCTGGTCAACATATGAACCCGGGAAACACTTCTAGAAGCACTAAAAAAACTGACCACTCAGGAAGAAAAGCTTAGATGAGCTGATTGATCTTCTTTCATCTGCATTTTTTTCAATGAGAGCAGATGTGAAAATTATATAACAATCATTAATATAAAATGTATATTAGGGCCTCTACTTGATTACAAACCTCAATGTAACAAAATAATGTCTGATTTCTACTCTTTCAATGTTGTTTCATTATTGAGATTGTCCACCCTTATAGTATATTCGGAGAAGCTTTTAAAAATTGTTGATTTCCATAGCTGTCAGACACAGAATTCCATAGGAAATATGGATTGAAACTATTTACAATCTGCAATTCTTCAGTTTTAAAAATGAAACCCACTGTTGGCAAGATCTTACAAATCGATTTGTCATGCCTCAGATCACAAAATTATTAAAATCTTTATTCCTTCCTGACCATCACATATACCTTTAAATATTTCAGTGCAGAAAGCAGCGCACATTTGAAGTCATTAATGAATAATTTAACCAAAGTATAGTATGCTTTTAGAATACAATTCATATTGTGCTTGTCTTGTCTTTCAAATCTAATTAACCTGTTATCAGTCTTAAAACTTGAGGTGCCAAAATAATTAACATCATGAACAGCTTGATGGCAATCTAACACAAGAGCCTCCTGTCTTTGTTGCATGTTCCTGTTGCTCAATGAAAACATAGGATATACAGCATTTCCAATGTTGAAAAAAAAACATGTGGTAGTGTGGTAGTTAAGGTGAGGTACTGTATGACACGAAGTTTTGATTACACGTTTGTAGAGAGCATTTTTATTTTTCGGAGTTCCAGCATAGTTTAAACTATGTTAAGTTAAAAAAAAAGCACCTTCACTTTTGATTTTATGATTCTTCTACAATGTAAAAAAATGAATGTTATAAACTAACTCCTAAATGGAGATATTATTCACATCAGCACAAGAGAACATTTCAGACAGAGGTTCTTAAAACGTAGAGGGACATACTGTAATAATGATGTAATAATGATTACCTCTGTGACTGCCTTTTTACTTACTATAGTTTCTTAAATGTAATGTGCATGCTACATTTCTGAGCTGAGGGAGAAATTTAAAAAAATCTATTTAAAATGAATGAATAATACAAGTAAACACCATGAATCAAGCTATGCTAACCTTTGGCAGTGCTCAATTTGCATGTGTACGTTCCACTGTCATCCTCATGTACAGAATTCAGGAGTAGTTTGCATCTCTTCCCATCAAAGTGCATCTTGCAGTTTAGCAGTGCAGGCTGAACCAGCTTCCCATTGGACAGCCAGTCCACATCAACATCTGGGGGCCCTGTGATCTGGCACTCGAACACAGCCGTCTCCCCTGCTTTCACCGTGACATCTTTCACTTGTCGTGTTATCACCAGGCCTGGCTCAGCTGGGGGAGCTGAAAAGATGAGGAGGGGCACAAGAAACATAAAGAAACAGTCTCCTTCCTGAGAGCCTCCAGCTGCTTTCCTTTTGGTCCAGTTTAAATTCCACCTTGCATGTGAATGAGAAACCTCATACTTTATTGGGATTACCGATCATTGTGTGATTAACACTATACATTAAACTGAAAAAATATCAAATCCAGCTTCATTGCTGCTGAATTTGATTCTGTACAGGTTCAGTGACAAAATGCCACATTTTCTCCCATTCTCTAAAATGTAATAATGCATCAATGTAGAAAACTTTGTGTTGTTTCTTAAAAAGATTTCACAATAATTTCCATTCCCAAAACATGAATGATAGCTTGAGATAATTATTGTATTGCATGGGAGCTGGAGATTGAGTAGCAAGATCTTGGAAAACTCGTAGACCCATCAAAAGGGTAAGATATCTATTGGAATAAATATAATTAAAAGCAAAAACAACACAAGAGATTAACAGTGTTTTATCCCCCTTAATCTGTTTTTTTTAGTACATCAGCATGGCTTTGCCTTGTCACGACTAGTCTTAGAGAGAATACAGTGCCTCGCATACTGTATGTGTTTACTGCCTTCAGATGATGTCCTATTTTGTTGAAATAAAAATAATATGCACAAACTTGTTTAAAATGAACTATTTAATAAAAACTTCATGTTGTAAACATTCATGGGTGAAAGAAGTTAAAGAGAAAAAAGTTTTGGTTTACCAGGTTTGCATTACAATTTTCTCTCATGTGACTGCTAAGCGTTTTGCTACATGTTTGCAATATCTCTTATATACTATACTTATAAACTTCATGCGTGATTTGTGATGAATTTGCCACTCTGCCATAAAGGTAATCATTTGTGGAGTGATGTTAATATTGTTAAAATACATTTGCAAAAGCAAATACAGAATGCAACATTGAACAAATTTACTGGGTATTTCAATTAGTTATATGCATTGCTCTACAAAAGTCACATATATTGCAATGTTCAACTCAGTCTCAATGTATTTCTTTCTTTAAAGGATGGTACTTTACAGTACGTACATTTTACTATTTTTATTGTGTTAATTCGGAGAGATAAATATTTTGTTGCACAAAAAGTAGCTTCATTGATGTGTACAGAGGAACAAATTAATTATTATATTAATTATTAGGAAGTTCTAACACTGAGCGAATTAAATATTGTTAATGTGACAAATTAACTCTTACAGTACTTAATATTGGCTACTTATCAACAGTTTACCTTGATTTGTTGTGACCAAAGAGTTGAAGCTTTTGATCACTGTGAATTAAGAACTGCTAAATAAGAAGCTTGGCTTTGTCTCACCTTTTAATGGCAGAAAACAGTAATGGAAACTTTAAACCGCTTTCTGAAGCTCACAGTTCATATACTATAAAATGGCTAGACTTTTGCATAACAGTGAAACATACAAGTATTTAATATAATACTGAGCAACAAACAAATATTAACAACAGCTATCCCTTATTGTACAAACAAAATACATAATGTTTTTTAATTGATAGCTTGAGGAATAGAACATGTATATAGTTACAGTATGTGTGATAGAATGCAGAAGTTTAATTTTATTTCTACAAACTACTTACAAATGTACTTACCAAATTGAAAATAATGAGTACTGATTTTCTAAAACACTTTATTAGAGTATGTGTATATAAATATACAAACCATAATCATTCCATAGATGGATTACAGAAATACACATCAGCTTTGCTCTGCCAGACATCTAGCACACAGTTGATACATCATGTAATAACCAAATAACAATGCCAGTTGACAAAATTAATAATATTTTGGAATTTTGATTCTGTGGAAGTAGAAAATCTGTCATTACTCCTGTCATTTTCATTATTAAAAATGTTTTTTTCTGTCATGGGATTTTACTAGCTTTCATTTTTCATCACACTATTATGTTCCTCATGAATACTGTACCTACTGTACTTAAAAGAATTTGGAACACTCAATAAATTCAGACTTCCAGATAGCTCTGTTTAAATGCTGTAGTTATTATAATGAATATTGTAAAGCACAGTGATGAATGCATATTTATATTAAAAATAGACAGAAATGCTAATATCCATGCATCAGATTAAGCATATTAATGTACTTAAATAGTTTATTAATAGTTCAATAGTTTATTATTTTTACAATAATTTCTGCTTATCAAACTGCTGAAAGACTCCATTGACCAAATTAAATTGTATCCAAAGATCTTTATTTTTTATTATTTGCTTCTGTAGAAATGGGACAAACATTTTTTTTTGTTAACAGTTTAGAGGTTCCTTGGTAGATAAGGCACAATCTTAATGCAATCTGTACTGTGAAACTGTATTGAATTCCACAGACAATAAAAATAGTGGAATATTCTATGGAATGAACCAATGCATAATATTTATGACTGAACTTGGTAATAAACAGTAAAAGACAGTTACAGTCTAATCAACAATCAAGTATCAATACAATTCTGTTGTAAAATTATTCTGCACAGAATCTGCTGACTTACTAAGTGTTTTTTTTTTATTTGAAGTTTTGCTTATTTGTATATCTGTAAAATTTACAGTATAAAATGGTTGGTCATTGATATTTTTGCAAATTAGGTCTATTGCAGGTATAACATTTTTTAGATAATTTCACACTAAAGGTTCTCTAAATATAATCTACCAGACATTCAATACTGAAATAGAAACATGTTTGTATTACCAAACACATGTGATTGCTATGTTCATTCCACTTAAAAAACACCATCACAACAACACTTCAATCATCACAATTCTTCTTTTTAGGTACACGTTTGTGTGGCATTAAATATACTGTACCCTGTTTCATTGTGTAAAATAATACACAAATATGCCTGTTAAAAATCAAGAGTGAAAATGGTGTAAAAGGGTGGAATTGTTTTCTTTGAAATACTGTATGGCAACCTTTATTAGTAATTTTGAATTGAGTAGCTTTATTTTTACAGTGGTACTACTGTTAAACTGTATTACAATCTTTTCATTTAGCTAAAATTAGCATGGATACACATAAGTAGAAGGACATACTGTAGACAGACAGATGATGGTACATACTGTAGCATAGGAATATTTCCATTAAAAGTGAATGCTATAATGATAGTTAGAGATCACTATTCAACTATATGCAATTTCCCAGACAGAAAAATACTGAATCTTCACAGATACATTTGGTGATCTATCTACATTCATTAATGATGGATTCTACTTACTTTGATTCTTGCTTGCTCATTTACTTTTATTGAATATATCTAGAAAGCAGACAGCACCCATAGTGTAAGTACTGTACGTAGGTACTGTGTACAAATTGATCTCAATATTAATATAGCACAATTCAAAATCACTTCTGTTTTAAGATCAAAATTCAGTAGCTCAAGTCATACATGATCAAAATAAATGAAAAGCATTTGAATGATAGCCCCCTGCCCTTCCCACAAAATAAAGAGTTAGGTCAAAATAGGTCAAAAATAAAAGTTAGGTCAAAATCAGTATCACGGGCAACAGAGGCAATTGAGAATGTTAGTCACACATTTTAATTACTACCCCAATAAAATGTAATCTGCAGTTCACTCAGATGCATGTACAATATACACTGCATAATAGCTTATCCTTACAGTCACACTAAACAAGATTTATAGTTGCTTAGATTTATAATTCCAAACTATATGTGAGTTACTGTAGAATTCTGACGTGAAGCACTTTTGTTTTGCATCTTGCTGGCTAATTTAAGTCAAGCAGCAGATGATTACTATTGCTTGTCTCTAGACCAAAAGCAGGAAATCGAAAACAATATACCATGTTTGATCATTAGGTATATCTGTAGATCACTATACATTTTTAGGCAAGAAAAAAATAGTAGAGAGAATTAGTTCAAAACAATTACACTTTTTTTTTTTCATCTTCTCCAATACCTAAATGACAGGTTTTATTCTTTGATGCAGTCAAATTCCATATTATAGATTCCAAGAAAGAGACCCTTTGATGTAAGGATGTCCAGACACTGTTTCCTTCAAGAACCCATTTATTGGATGCACAAAAGATTTAAATCTTCATCAGTGGTCCTCAAACAAATAGTAAATAAATGATAAGTTCTTGGATTTCCATATAAAGCCTTAGGCACAAATGCAAAACAGAGTGAATGCTATTTTTTTTCATGTGTACTATAGCTCGGCTTGCATAAGCTTGTTGAATCTAAATTATGAAGTGGAGATCCAAGGTCTTGTTCTCCTAAGAAGAAAAGTGATGAGGTTCTGGTTGAAGCTTTTGGGTCCAGCGGTAGAGCAAAGCCTTTTGTATAGGACATCATGATATTTCAGTTCGTGTCCTGCTGTGGTCTAGAAAGGCTACAGCTAGCAGAGTCTTCACAAAAAGGCATATACCTATCTGTCCAGCTTAGCGCAAATATAACAGATAGATAGAGAAAGAGTGACAGACTGACAGCCATCATAGGATGAAGTTCATGCCGTCTACATTATCTTACTCCTCCTGCATACAGAAAACAGAAAACGCAGTCAGCAAGCTCTGAGTTAGTGCAGCACAGAGACACATTCATGCACAGGGGTGGATTGAGAAAGAGGTGTTCTGCTCAGGCAGACAGACTCTATGAGTTTCCCAAAGGACTTATGCTAACAGCACAGTAACGTTTCATTTAAATTAACCAATGAAGCTTTGACTGAGAAATCTCTCTTCTGTTTTTTTTAATGAAGGCAATTCCAAATTACAGTTACTAAACCCCTTTGAAAAAAAAATTGACATATATATTAACTCCATATTTTATGGAGCATGTATATTCATACAGGGGTTTTAAAAATCTTATTCCAACAGATTGGCTCCTTCATGGTTATCATAAATATTTTTTTGTATTATTATAATATCAAAATATTATTATAAGCAGCAGTAGTATTTCCACCTGTAAGATCTTTATTTACAGAAGCTCACAGAATTTGAGCAATGTATATAAC